CCCCCCCCCCCCCTTTTAATCGTCTGTTGATTTTAGATAGCGTGCTCATGAATGTATAGTTGTTGTTAGTTTAGATATCAGTTGACTAGATCATTAGTATTAGAACGTAATAAACTGTTATATTTTAAAGAGCAGCTGTCTGTGATTACTTTGTGCATGTGTATTGTGATGATAGCTGTATATGTGGTCTGTGCTCGAACTTAAACCTTCACTTTCACTCTGAATGTGTAATAGTACTCAGACTACTGACATTGTGAGTGAACACTAATTATGAGACTTAGTTTATCGTTTGGTTATTGGTCCCTGTTCGCAGGGTGGTGCCCTGTTATTATTAATAATCATTAATAATTGTTACTGACATTAATAATTCTATTGATGTCAAGAATTTAGTTTTTTAGATGCTGATAACCCAAACACGCTCATTTACGTTCCCAACATATTGGTGCCCCCTTTTTGAGGCTATGTTATTCCCAACACTGATAAGCAGCACGCTTTGCATGTTCTCTCAGGGCTGCCTGAGTTGGTGGAATCGAGTTGTTGGGCCTTTGTTTGCGGGCAAAGAGATCCAGTCTTGCTTCATCCACACCAGTAACTGCGCTTGATCTATCGTACATGAGGACAACAAATCTCTCTAACTGTTGCAGGTCCAGGTCACTAATTGATGTTGGATGCTGGCTGAGATTGGTGAAGGTTTCAGAAATTTCATCACAAATGTTCCAAGACTGCCATGCTGTCTTGGTCCCTTTCCCATGAAATGCAGACGCAATGTCACAGCCTGTGAATGCACGAAAGTACGGTAATCCACTGGCTTCGTCAGTCTTAATTGCAGCTATTACTTCATGGACTGGAATCCATCGAACACTGGCTCGTTGACCAAACAATCCACATACTCTCAAGACCAATGGCCTGTAAGGATGGCAGTATAGATATCGCTATGACAAGGATATCGGTGTCATTAGCCTTGATGATGAGGGACTTGATGCCTTCCATTGCTGCATCCCTGGCATGTACAAATATTCGGGTGTCTGCTTCCTCATGAGAGCATGGGGACATAGCATCCAAGCATTTCCTTGTATTGCTAATGACATCTTCTCATTTTGGACTTGTGATGAAGCATGTCCTGTCTGATCATTGCAGCAGCTTTTGCCAGATGAATTGCGTTACCATACTTGGATGCTTGCGCAAGGATGGAGCAAACATCTTTCTCAAAAGCCAGCAGGATGTCTCGTCCTTTATGATGAGCTTGCAGCAGAGGGATATGCAAAAGCAGCTTGTCTTTCAGTCGAGTAGCATGAACATCTGGCAATTCAACACCAAGCTGCTCCACTCTCTGCTTGTAGAGTTTGATCAGATCAGCAAGTCTTAAAATAGGTGGAGCTGTGCCATCACCAGCAGCTTTTCAAACCTATTTTTTTTAAATAATAGCTCTAATAATATAATATGAACCATATTCATAATTCAGTTAAGAGTGAGCTTTTTCCAAATGGATGGGATTAATGAATGACACCCGTAACAGGACATAAATTAGGAAAGATAATATTCTGACTATAGCCTGCAAGTGTAGAAATGTGAAACTCCTTTGAAAATGTGCACTAATGAGGAAGCTGGTAGCTCTGTGGCTATATTTGGTTAATATGTGAGCTCAAGTAAAAACCCATATGGTCTGCAAAGTCTGGATTTCCTCATTTATACATTTTTATTGTGTTTCAACAACAGTTCAGACTGTAATGCCCGATGTGTCATTATACAAATTATTAAAAAATATATTCGGCAGGGCAAACATATATTCCACGGCACATTTTAAAATACAAAGTGTTTTACATACGAAGTGGATCACATTTGAAAATGTTAAACGCACATCCAGAAGGCCCAAAGAGATGATTTTTGATTTTAGCCTGAAAGAATAACTATCAGTAGAAATCTTGATTTATCATATTTTCTCCTTTTATCATAGTTATGGTGATCAGAATAGTTCAGCAGCAGATTTTGACCAGGACCAGAGTGTCCCCTGCAGGATAGTGTTAAGGTTTACTGACTCGTCTGTTTGTATATCCGGGTGCTGGGTGAAGTTAATGGCTCAATAACAGTGAAAGCAGGAGACTGCATGGTGTATGCTCTATAGTATTTAAACATTACCAGTAACTGTGAATAGAAGTAATAATTGCAGTTTGATAAACCCAAATCCAGAGCATTGTCATTCAGGTTCTGTTTTTTCTTCAATTTGCAATTTAAATTGAGGAAATATGTAAAACTCCAAAAGGCCAAACATTTACCCTCCAAACACCTCTTAAAAATACAGTACTGGTGTGTGCTTTTTGGTACAAGATATTTAGGTATTTTAGACATAAAATCTGCCTGCCATTAATAAGCACTTAAAGTGCTGCATAAAGTTTAATGTTTTTTGGACACACCACCTGCGAATAATACGCCACTGATGGTGCATATAATTATTTTATTAAGAGATGGTTTAATTTAACAGATGCCAACTTTCCAGTATAATCAGGAGTAATATAAAAGCTGAATTAGATGTACAGTATAGTTATATATACAAAGAAAAATCAAATATTTGTACTTTAACAATTAAAGGCAGTTATTGCAATATAAATGCACATACACACACCTATTACACATTTTTTAAACCTCTCGTATAACACTATAAAATCTGGCAAAGCTACATTTGTGATCTACCTATAAACTGAGAAAGTGTTATATGGTGGATGGACATGACAGTAAGACTGTCTTTCCTATGAGTCAGAGTCCTCCTCGTCATAGTAGCGGTTCCTCTTGATTATATCCTCTGCACTCAGCTCCTCTGCATCACTTCCTTCCTTGTCCTCCTCCCAGAAGCCCACATCCTGGGAGGCGCGGTTCTGTTTTGGCTGTAAAGGTGGAGAAGAGGACGGGGAGATTTCCGGGGAGATGCTTCTAAGAGATCCTTCTTCTACGGCAATCTTCTCTGCTGCTGCCTTTCCTCTCTTCTGTACTTGTTTGTCTCTTTCTTCCTGTTGCTCTGTCTCCATGTCCTCCTCTGAGGTGGCCTCGCTTTCCTTTGCTGTGTCTTGGCTCTGAATTTGAGGCATCGACTTCTCTTTTTTCTCCTGCCGTTTCCCTTGCTGAAGCTCCGGCTTATTTTCCTTGGGTGGTTCTTCAGATGCGTTTTTTTCCTCGAATGACACTCTCCATTCCAGCAGGGATTTGAGAGGGCGACGAAGTTCCCTGGGTCCCAGACTGTTTGCGGGGTTGGGTTTAGCTGCGATTGTAAAAGGCCGAATGCGCTCCTTTAGAGAAGAGCTCCTCCTCAGGCTCTTCAGTTCAGCTCGGTCTGAGCTCTGGAAGGATGATGGCGCCTCGTCCCCTGGAGGCCACTTGGCTCTCCACGGTCGGCCTGAAGAAACTCCCTCCGTGACTGGACTAAGTGCTGTCCCAGAGGGGTCTTCACCAGCTGGGGGAGGCCAGGCGATTCTCAGCCTGCGTTTCTCAGTAGACTCAAGCTTTTCACCAGACCTCGCATGTGTCTGCACACGTGTCTCCAGTAAGGCAGTCAGGTCTGTCACCGTAACCTGTGGGGATGCTTCAACAGCTGGGGTCTCCTGTTTGTCTGAGGTACTCTCAGCTGGACGCGCCACCACTGCTGGTTCCTCTTGTTCCTTTGGCTTCACCTCTTCCTCACCTTGGTCTCCATCGTCACGAGGCTCCCAAAGCTCCTTGTGAGGCCGATGGCCAAAGCCCTCATCGTAGTTGCCTTTAGCTTTAAACAGCTGGCTGAAATGGGGCTTGCAGTAGACGTTGCCATGCAGAGAGGCAAAACTCCCAAGACTTGAAATAGAGAGCAGCAAAGATATTATTCAGAAAATGTCCCTTTCTGTGGTTCTTGAACAGGAAGCCACTGAGGAGGCATTTCAAAGTTCAAAGACATGACAAAAAAAAATTTAAAAAAAATCAGGGAATATGCAACAGTGCAAGACTAACCTGAGCGTTGCGTTGCAGTGAACACAGCGGAAGCAACCTTTGTGGTAGACATGCTGAAGAGCCATCAGTCTCTCCAGCGGGTACACAGTCTTTAGACAAGCAACGCACGTCTCCTTCACCGGTGGGCTGAACTTCTACACACACACACAACAATAGTAACATACATCCATAATAAACCAGGGTTGAATTCAGACCTTTCTCTTGATGATTCATGCATGTCTCCTGCTTGTTAGTGTGATGACAGACTCACCCTTGATGCTTTAGGTTGCTCGCTGCTCTCCCCTGAAACAGACAAAAACACTTCAGTCACTGTTGTACCTCAGAAGCCAGCTGAAAAGGTCAATCAAACCAAACTTTACCTCATTCTAGGTGTCAAAGTTATTTGGGTATATTAACGAAGTAGTAAATGCTCTATTTCACACGTAATACTGTATCAAGAACATTAATATTGGAACATGTCCTCGGAGAATCCACTAAGACTCACCATTGCACTCAGGTGCAGGATTCTGGTTCTGATTTACTGGTGCAGATGTTTTAGGAGCAGGCACCTCTGGGGCCAGACCCTGGAGGAAACACAAAGTGAAACAAGAGAGGGAAACAAACACTTTTTTAATCAAACACCCACTGTTAACCCGTCATTTATAACACATATTAAAAACTTAAATTAAAAATTTTTATATTTCATTCATATTTTAGAGAGATTATGTTTTTGAAGATAAATGTTTTGTTTTGAACATGAACTCACAGCACGAGAGGTGCCTTGTTTAGATACAGCAGCCTGGTATTTGGCCATCTTCTCCTTCATGGATGTGGACTCCAGTACTCTGTCATGCACAGACAGACCTAAAGCAAAAGAGATAATCACACTTAATGCTTCGACTGTATTCTGCAGTAAACTCAGGTCAAATCTATGGCTGCATTTCCCTGAAACAGCAAGAGATTGCTTTTCAGTTTAAAAATGCTATTCATGATCCAGTTGTGGCACATACTATTATGTTCCTAGAAACAAAACTGAGTAGTTTTGTGATTAAAGGTTCGGCACTTTAATTATTCAAAGGGTAGTGTGTATTTGTCTTTACCACCATGTTGGTCCATGTCCTCTGATGAAGTACTGCGTATTGTTGTCCTGCCGCCCTGTAAGAGTAAAATGATTGTTGGAATCAGAGGTTCAGTTTGCAAAACTGCTGCAGTAAACTCTTGTATGCACCAAGTACACCAACACTGTTTCCTATCCCAGCTGCAGTTGATTGGATTCATCATTTGTTTAAGTTTTACTGCCTCCCTATCGTCCAAACTAACTATTACTCTCACATTACATAAAACACAGACTCTGCATTTACATTTCTATATCTGATTCAGAGTTAAGACCACCAAACTGCTGTGACGTAGAGGCCATAACCGATTTTTCTATTGCAATAAAGTGAACCTTCATAGAAAATTTAATTTTACTTGTCAGTAATGTTTATTTCTATTACTTGTTATTTCCCAGCAATGTATAGAATAGAAGTTTACTGAAATAACATATTGTAAAAGTGGTTCAGTTAAATCCCAAAGGACACTATTCTAGCCTCTATCGATTAGTGTAAAGGGCGATAGAGAGGCAAAAATAATTATGTATGAGACAAAGATATTCAGGTATTAAGGTTTAAGTACAAGATATCTCAAGTCATCAGGACAGGCGTAAAAGCATCTCACACAGGTCAGCGCTGTGTTGAGGAACATTGGCAGAACATTCAGCTTAACAAAGATAGAAGAGATTAAGTGGTTGTGTTCTCATAAAAAGGTATAAGATTTCCAAATTAACTTCAAATATCTTCGGTTGCTTCAGGTATTGTCCAGAATTATTCTTGACACATGAAGCTTCAGGTGCATTATGTCCTGACTCCATATTCTACCTCTGACACGGCGTCATAAGCAGTTCTTTATTACATACTTTCAAAACACCAAACTACAGGCTCCACCTGAGCAACAAACATGCCTTTCACTTGCAGTCCAAAGAAGCAACTCTATTCCATTGCGCCTTACTAAAAGAATGAGCTCTGTGCGTGTATGCCGACGTGCTACCAACGCTAATGTGTTAACCAGACAGTTTGGACCAATTAAAATAACCCATTGCTTCAGGCTGCTTCCCTGGGACTGTGTAGTCCTGTTGTGCCACCATCTTCCTCAGCCACCTAAATACAAACACCAACTGCATAATACAACACTCAAAACATCAGTTAGACGAGGGCAAGGGTGCATTAACCTACAGTGCTTGTGATCACTGAATAAGAAGAGATTCAACCTTTCCAGTCAGTATTGACAGAGTAAGTGTTACAACACTCCTAGTCTTTCCTGTAAATGTTCACCAGTGACTTTTACACTTCTTCTTTCCTAGTGGTGGCGTTAGTCATACTGTTGAGCAAATTTTAAAAAACTGCAGAAAAAAAAAAAAGATTCATTTTTGCTTGATTATTGATATTAATTTATGAAGTGGTGTGAAGACTGCTGCACATATGACATAAAAACTGGGAAATCTAAAACTGAAGGCCAGGACTGTTAGATATCCAGAATACACACTGCGGCTAAAGGAAAATGAGATAAAGCCAGTTGCTCGTCAGAGCTGATCCTCTGAAGTAAGAAACAGCCCTGAGTCAGGAATGTTCCTGCATTCCTCTGTTACGGAAGGTAAAGAGTGGAGAGCTTGTTTTGGGTTGAGAGGGAGAGAGAGACACCGAGAGAGAGAGTGGAAGGGAGAGACAGAAATGAGTGGGGGGGGGGAGACGGGCCTAAATCCAGGTGGAACAAGACTACTTCAGAAAATACAGGGAACTATGAGGGATGAGACAATCTTCAATACATAACTGTGATTAGCACTGAGAATTTAGGGTCAAGGAAAGGAGCGTGGCTTTAACTAACGAGTGACTTCTTTTCTCTCTTTAACATGTGTTAACCAATTACATAGTCCCAGATTCACAATAGAAATAACATTACTAATCCCTGTGTTTAGTATCAGTTACTTTTAGTTTGCTGTAGGGCGGGATAATTAGTGCATAACAAGCCTTGTAAATTAGGATCGAAGTGGTTACGAGTTCCTTTAAAGTTGGTAATTAAAGCAGCTGCAGGTTATGCAACATAAAGTCTCCCTTTTTGTCTTCTGAAGAACGGTTCAGAAAATGTGGTTTACAGGGCTGACCAACACCAGTAATCCCAGCCATTAACATTGTGGTTACAGTTAATGCCTGGGAAACATGGCCAATAGATGCACAGCTGGCAAAAACAAGAGACTAGGAGCCTCATGCACAAAGCATTCATGCAAACCAATGTGATCTCAATTAATTTTGCCAGTTTTGTGGCTACTTAAATCATGTGTGAGAAGAGAAAATTATCTGATCTGTCTGTAGCTACCTTGCTCATGGTATTCTCTCCCCTCTTGAACTTCATCTTGGTCAGTGGCACTCTGGGTTTTTCATAAGAGGCACGGGGGCTGGTTGGAACTTGCTCATCAAGCTTTCCGGGTCTTTCATGGTGGGTCAGCTCATCCCTGTCCATCCCTCTCTGCTCTTCACCTTCGGATGCTTCTGGAACTGCTGCGGGCTTCAGGACACAACTGGCTGGTTGCTGTCCTCCCTGATCGGTCGGCAGGCCGGGGCTCTTTAACGGAGGACAGGGCTCGGTGATAGAAGCAGGCCTGTCCAGAGCAGGAGGCCTGCAGTGAGTGCTGGACTGGCTAGGAGGTGGGACAGAAGAAGGCTTCTGTGCCTGCTCCCAACGCTTCTTCAGAGCACTGAGGTTGCCTAACCGCAGTGAGGGTGATGCACTCTCAGCAGACTGTGAGCAAGACAAGAAGAGATTCAAAATTAAAAAGGGAAAAGGATTTCACAAACACTGCCAAAAAAAAAGCAACTATACTTTCAGTTCTTATTTTCATTCTGTTCACGGGCTGAATTTCCATTTGGCAACAAACACAGCACAACTCAAAGCCCTATTCAGCACGATGGAATAAAGGAAATGCCAGAATCTGAGCTCGGCTTCACTGACAGATTAGGTGAACAGCTGTTTAAAGTTGATCCAGGAAGTTGATGTGTTGCTGAAGGCAACAACTGGCTCAAGATGGATATGGCTGAGCTGAGCATGCAGGCAGACTTTTTTTCAGCTGCATTCCTTTCCACATGACAACTTCACCTTTCCCTAAAAACACTGAGGAGGGCTCTGTTCACCACTCAGCCATTCATGACAATGAAACATGCTGAGCAGCAGACAGACCAACAGGAGGCACACTACTGCCGCGTGACCGCTGGGAACTTCCTTTAAGTATTAAAGAGGAATGACACGTGGAAGAAAGAGGATGTGGAAATATGAATAAATCTCTCTCATATAAGTAAACTAATCCGCTAATAAATATTAATATTATTATTAAATATTAAGCAAGCCTCCATGCTGAGGTCAGGTCAGTGGGAAAGATTAAAACATTATATTGTAAAAAACACAATTCCTCAAAAAAACAAACTACTAAATATTGTTTGACTCAATTTAAAAATGAGAAGCAAACAAAAACACTTAATTTGTCCCGAAAAGACTTAACTACATAGTGTATGAGTACATCAAACTAAATCTGGTGCATCTACAACTAAGTTATATGAACATGCACAAACAGATAAAGAAGAAAGAAATAAGAACATAAGAATAAAGTACTGAACAAAAGGGACAAAAAACCCAAAGTGCACAAAAAAAAAACCACACAATTACTGTCTTTGTGAGGCAAGTCCAGGGTGAGCGGAGAGAACTGGACAGTGACAAGATTGTTCCCGTTTTTGTTCAAAAAGAGAAACCTCTGTGAATGCGTTGGATTACCCAAACGAGGTGTAACCACAACTTGACAGCAAGGAAAGTGAGAGTCCTTTGGTTGGTCCTTCTTTTACAAGTCAGTTTGTTGAACGAAAGAGATCTCCCAGATGTTTGCAGCGAGACAAAGTCTGCTCGTTAGAGCTCGTCGCCCCTTTAACACCAGAGAAGAGAATGAAAGAGCCAGAATAACCAGGAAACCAGAGCAGGAAATGATACATTCAGGGAAAAGTTAACTCTTTGTTCGCTGTGTTGGCTTTGACATTTTTCCACTCACAAAATATATCTGAAGATAATGGCACTTCAAAATCTCTCATTCATCCAGAAGGAACAAAGGTTTAAGATAACGCAAAACAATTACACAAAATATGCTTTACAAACATTGAGCCGATACAGAGTTTTATACAGAATTTTACCACTACTCAGAACTCCGATACAGGGAGGTTGTAAAATACAAGCTCCAATGACAGATGCTAACTGAAGTCAAGATCAGGGCAGCGTTACAATATTACAAGCAAAATGTTTGGAATTTGTCTTGGGGGGGCTATAGATTTCTCAGCTTTAAAAGTATTCACAAAATATTTTTAACCATAAATGTGGAATCTCTTTGTTTCACACAAGTTAGAATTTTCTGCAAATGCATCCTGTTCAGGCCGGAGATTAATCCGACTTGATTGATGGGAGTGTTAAAGCCAACATATAAGCATAAAAAGGAGATAAAACACGCTGTAGACGTGTGAGAGCACCCCTACAATTCACTCACAGATAAAGATGCCTTGAACCTTCCAACCTATTTCTTACTGAGGACAGAGAAACTAACAAAATCCTGGAACGACAGAGCGCTGTACCAAAACCAAACCAATAATAGGAAGGAAAAGCTTGTGGGCAATATTTTATGACATTTTAAAACATGTTTAATGCTGTATCTATGTAATTTAGCTAAATGACTAAAGGTTTCATTGTCATGTTTGAAAAGTTCCCCCCTTCCCCCAACTCCCCCTCCCCCACACACACACACACACACACACACACACATACACACACACACACACACAGACAGATGGTCTTTTGCGCCGCTCATTCAAACTTGTGTAATCCTTGAATATTTGAACTGGACTCCCGTACCCCTGTACCAGTGGCATCAGCTCATTTCCATACATACTATTGGTTCCTGAGAATGATTACAAACTATGAATCTATCACACTAAAATTTATATTAAAAAAAAAGGACCTGACAACCTGAACTTATGCAGAGAAATATGCCTTCAGAGCATCTTTTAAGTTCTATTCTTTAAATGCTACATGTGGTTACGCAGGAAAGTTTCTTTCAGATAGTACGTTCATAGCAAGTTTCTACTGGAGTAAAAAACACAAACAAAGCCTTCTTGTCATTGTCATTATCAGCCAGATTGTTAAACAAAGACTACAGGAGTTTACAATCTTTCAAAGCAGCTGGCTCACACAGACAATGCATACAGTATACATTCACAGCAATATTACCTTAGATTTCCTCATGATATGAGCTGATCAGTTACTCATTAATCTCAGTCCTGCTTTGTTTATGCGTCTTTCACACTGACAAAGCAGTTCACCTACAGTTAGAGCTACAAAGAGCATTTCAAGGGGATTACACTGAAGTAGGATTATGGGTTTGATAGCCTGCCCATCTCAACAAGTGGCCTATGAGAGGTCCGCCAAGACGAGACATATTGCCCAGTTGGCATGGTGAGTGTGTGTGTGTGCAACAATTAGTTTAGCTCCACCAGCTACTGAGCAAATGAAGCAAGACATGCAGCATACACACACTTCATTTAAACATGTAGTTTGCTAGGAGAGGCTTATCAAAATGCTGTAAGCAAGATGTGTCATAGATTTAGATTTTCATGTGAGAAACTTTGTCATTCGTATATTAAATTCAGGAAGAGCTTTACAATACTAGTTCACAAACCCCAAGAAATGTCTCTAAACTGAAATAAAATGTCTCCATCATTCTTTACAGTTATACTTACTCCTTTTTTCTTCTCGGTACTGGCCACCTCAGCAGCTCTCTGGTATCTGAGAAAGACAAGACGCAACACTGACCTCTGGTGACTCAAAACAAGAATCGAACACTGTAAAAACAGAGATTTTCATAATTTTTTGATTTTAGTATTTTGGGTGTCATTTAGCTCACAGCTTGTTTAGATACAGTTTTAGACATATTCTCTATTCCAACTGTCCAACATCTTTCAACATAATATCTGTAAGAACACTGAGGGAACCGAAATTCTCATGACCAGCAAGACCAAACACGAAAACTGAAAAGAAAAGACTGAAAAGCAGGTGTTACTCACTTGGAGAAGCGTTCAGCGATGGCGTTGTTTTTCCCTCGGCCGCTGAGGGACAGCTCTTTCGCAGTGACACGCACGGACTGTGCCGCCCAGCCCCGTCGATTGAATGGACCACTTTCCATCTCTGGCTGCTATCTAAAATACCTGAAATACAAACAACCTTATTACTACACCTATTGTAACTCTTCACCTCCAAATTACTCCCCAAACCTTTACCGGAGAAAACTAAACTTCAGACATGACGTCACTTTCTGCTGAGCCCCATCCTGGATTTGAATTTGTTTGCATCTTGTACTCAGAAAATAAGATCGTCCTCTCCATCTGCATTTGTCCAGCAGTTTACTTTCCATCTGACTATAGAATCATCTGACATCTACAAGGTGTGGGTTAGGTGATTGAAACCGCCATTCTGAAAGTGCTGCATGGCAAAACCACTTAGATGTGTACCGACTCTTCCGTGGGTTGGTAGCAGAGTAGAGGAGCTATCTGCTGTCTGAGATCACGTTTGTAACATGATCTCCATCAGTTTACCTCTTGTCACACCAAAACACTACCTGACATGCATACCAAAGAGTGGTTGACCATGTTTATTATCATACAGTTATGCAAACCAGTCGACATGTTCAAACTTGCATTCCGACCCTTGCCGCATGATTACAAGATGGAAACACAAGTGTGAGCACATTATCATTATGAAAGGATAACTCGTCATAAGCGACGTTCACAAAAGACCAGAGGAAAGCAGCGCCCCACAACCGTACTGCATGACACAGAGTATTTCTTTAACTTCAATCGAACAAACCTACACTTAAATAAGGGCGACAGACCGATCACGAGCCTGTTAAGCAGTTTCTGTGTCTGGAGAGACTGTCAGACCATGAATACTCCTTTTAGCGCTCAGACAGTATATTACAACCATGTGTTTAAATCACCACTGTCCGCAGCCGACTCACTAATCATTGCTCTCACTATCGGGGCCTTTTCACTCAGGCGCACCTATTACACTCGGATGCAAAGCGATACTGGTGACAAGTAGAGTGAGGACTTTGGACTAAACTGAATTTCAAGTAAAATGTATTCTAAAAAACTGTTCAATGTTAAACCTGGCTGTATTACAGAGTTAGGCCTACCCGTTTAGATAACTACAATATATAATTATATATAATTACTTTATGTATTGGCAAGTGTTTTTTGGGCAGAAGCATATATTAGTAAGACACACCACAATAATATTAAGAACGGTCCGTTGCTCAAGCACTTTTATTAGGTTCTTAATGCTGAATAGTTTGGGACTGTTTACTGTTGCTACAGGCTTTGAGGTCTGATGGGCAATTTAGCTCCCCATGCCTGTTGATTATTTGCATGTTGTACTGTGTATAGTTATTATTAAACGGGTTCGTGGGTTTTAAGCACAAAATAATTTAACTTGATGGCCATGCTGAAATGATTTGTTAACTTCTTCTTTTCTACCTGTAAGTAGACCTGTAAGTCTGTTTGCAGGATATCAAGCCAGCATCTGCATGACAGGCAGACAGGGACACACCCTGAACAGGTCAGCAGGCCATTAAAGGGAAAACACAATGGGAGTGAGGTTAGAGTATTTTGCATATCTTCAAACTGTTAAAAGAAGCCAGAGCAACAAAAACAAAAGGGAGAACACATGAACTCCCTCCAGAAATGACGTGTGTCGAGAATCAAAACTCAAGTTTATCCCGCTCATTCATCAGCGCACAAAGAGAAGAGCAGAGCTGAACAGGGCTGTCTGCTGAAAACCATTACACAGCAGGAAATGCTTCTAATTCTTTTAAATAAGAAGTAGGGTGGAGTCATAGCACGCTTTTCCTGTATGTGAAAACAATCTTAGTGCTTTACATTTTGATTCTCTTTTGTATTACCTGGTTTGGAAACCTAAGAGAAAAGACAATAAATTGCCTTCTGAAATTACCAATTTATCTCTAGGTCACAATTCAAATCAAAAGAAAACCTGCACAAATCATGACACATTTAAATTTACATCTACGTGTGCAAAAACCTTTGCAAGTCCAAGAGATAGTGCATAGATTTGCATTTACAAAAATTTGGTTTTGTTGTGTTTGGTTAATGTCACTTATTTCACATAGGATTTAGAGGTATAGTTTGCAGTACTACTAATAATGAGCATTTTATCATTTGTGTATGACAGCAGGTTAATTTAATTAGTTATAAATTGCCACACTATCAGCTTCACATTGCACAAAGGATTATTTGCTTTACCTCCCCACGTCCTGGCGTGGTGGCATTACTTTGGAGAGAATACTGACTAAAACGTAATGAATCAAAGGTAACAAAAGGTGACAAAATGTAAACAAAGGTGGTCCTGTTTCAGCCAGTAGTGAGGTAAACGGAAAGTGGTGCCTTACACCAGAGGCTATGTGCTTTTAAAATCAATGGAAACCACAGCATCTAACTACATATCCGTCACTTGTTATCAGTGAAAGGTGGGTACTGACCTTTAACCCTCGATTTAAGCCAAGTTTTCCTGAACAAGTAACCAGAACAGTCAGATACAGTATGACTCATGAGTAAGGAGGAGTCCGCATTGTTTAACGCATGATTGATCAAAGTCGCAATTCTAAAAACCAAAAGCACAAAATCTGTTGTTTATATGGAAATAATTGAGTTTGAGTCGACGAATCATTACTGAGACAATACAATAAACAGACGTGTGTTGAAGATCGGCAGCGTTTCTCAGACGCAAACGTGTAATTTGGAATAGTTTAATTTCAGGTGTGTAACACGGTAAGCGCTGGAAGAGAACTTGTGTGAAGCAAAAGCCAAACTGTAGTTTTAGTATAGTGTTATAGTTATAAAGTAGTTATAACATATACTTTCATTTATCATATTGTCACATATACGCTGTATCTAGACTGAGGAGTAAAAAGTGGAAACATAAGCCTACAATAACGACGGAGCAGCTGGACTGGTTTGACATCTAATTATCTCGATAGACTGTGAGTCCTCTAGCGTTACTATAAAAATCAATCTAATCAACAACAGGCTCGTTTGAAATTTTCAAAATACATACATTTGGTAATTTAACAGCCCTGGCTCGAGTTATTTGCCCATATTTTCACGCCCTTGCTTCGAGTTGTAGCTTACCTGTGCGAACTTCCGTTGTCACTCTCTCTGTGAAACCTTGAGACACCTGACACTCGCTGTCACCGCCCGGTGAGGTGGAGTGAACGGAAAGGTGTCATGGGAGTGGAAGAGCTGAGTCATGTGCTTTATTTGCACCAATGACGTTAGGCATTGCATTACCCCTACCTGGTACATTTATGCTGGTACGAGCGCCCGGGTGCGCCCCCCCCCCCAAATTCCTGAGAACAACAGGCGAAACTCATTCAGTTTTCAAGTGAAGAGAAATCGCTCTCGTTTTCTTACTAGGTTAAATTCAAAGAAAGTAATCATAGTAAACTGTATTTATATAAAACCTTTCATCAACAAAATGGAGCTCAAAGTGTTATACAAAAAATGAGAAGAAAACAGACATACAATTGTTACATTTAAAAAGATACTTCGGGTTCAGACATGCTCCTAAAGCAAAGATGACAATGTAGGGTGTGTAAGTGTCATTACTTTACAATAGACTGCATGTTGCATGTAGAACAATACAACATTTCAAATAATAGGCTACCTCTGTGAGATCTTGCATTATTCAATGTAAATGGGAATAAAAATAGGTAGTCACTGTGCATGGTGCATTGGATGTTTGTATTACATTTGCCTTCTAAATAAATCCAGCTGGGTGGTGTGAGAAGGGAGTTACAGTATAATAGGCCCCATTGCACACTATGATGAGCTCTATGCACACTAGTTAAGTGCACGCACACACACACACCATTAGGCGTATTTATTTTACCAACAATGTGTTACAGTCGAATGAGTCACTTAGGCTATTGTGTAGGGAAGAGCTCTCTTAATTTGAAGAACTTTATATGGCCAAGAAGTTAAGTCAATGAAAGAGTGGCTTAAGAATTAAAGGTTTCTCTGAATCTCCCAGTCAACCAAAGGTACACACATCTGTCCAGTATTCTACATAACCTAATGAGACAATATGTTGAGTTACAGACAGGGGCATTTTTGTCAAGTAACCCAATTTAAAGCTGTTGCTTATTTAAAAACAACATGAATAAACATATTTAATTTACCTTAAGAAATCATTGATGACATATATACGTTTTATAATATATTATATTATCAAACTGATGATAATGGTATTATAAACTGTCCACATCACTAAGGCTTGACATTAATGTGTTACCCTGGGCAATTTTAATGTTTTTTACACCACATATGGAATTACACTTATCGTTGAATTTCATTGCATACAAATAAAATCTAGGATGCATATTTCTAATTAGAAATTCTCCATCATTCTCATTTATTGTCCAGCAAAATTTGATGTTGAAACGCAAAGAATCATTCACAATTTTTGAAAAGACTCAGCTCTTGTTTTTCAGTTGCCTTTCAGTGTTCTGACGATTTAAACCAATGGATTGTTGCTATGTTGAAATGCTTTCAGTATCATATAAAGTCTTATGAAAGATTTATGAGGCCAAAATCTCCATTTACTTCTTACTAAACAGGCCCTCTTTGTGTTTATTCTGTAGAGAATAGTGATAGGTTTGTTTTTGAACATGGACACAATTTAATTTTACTTCATGCACAAAACATAAAGCATATATTAATTAATTTACCAGGGACAGTGCCCATTTGTCAACATTTTAGTTTCCACCTTAATGTCAATGTGCCAGAGTTAGCTAAATAGCGTTTTTTCATCTGTAGTCACTACATAACCTTCAGCAAGCACAGTACAACACAATACGGTAAAATACACAAAAACAATCCATAACCAGATATGTAAAGATACACAATCAATACAAGAGCCTATTTCAAAATTCAAATTCAAGGCCAAAAGCCAACATTATGTCCCATGCTTATTACCTAGTTTTAGGTAAACATGCAACCCAACCACTACGCACAAAAAAATAAAAGAGCAAAGTGCAGAGTAACCTCAAAAAGAAAGATAAACGATTACGTCACCACCCATTAAACGGCCGTTTGGGAGGAGCTATCTCATAACAGTAAAAGCCTTTTTAGATTAAAAAAGATTCAGCGTCGGCAATAATAGCAATCTTTTTTTTTAAATAATATTATCTTTAATTTGGGGCGACGGACACTTCAGACAATCAAAAAGGCAGCAGAATGAGCAACTAAAATCCGCCACAATATGTCTGCATGTCCCTGTTTTGTGTCATTTTAGTGTTCACTCCTTCTTCTTCATCATCTGCGTCTTTTCAGTCGTCGTCTGAATCTGCTACAAACTGAGACGCGCCAGCTACACCACAACAACAACAACATATGTGCGTAAAAAAAAATCTCCACAACAATGTAAACAATGGTTTAACGAACATATTTCGTCTACACTTTGAACCACCGCTCTCTGCTCAGCTGGTAGAAGAAGATGAGCCTTTTCTCCTCGCTTGAGGAGGCTTCGCTGCTGTGTGGGGGTTACATCCTGTTTCCTGTGTTTGTAAACTAGACGGGCTGGAAAACGTCGGGCGAGTGGACCTGAAAGGTAGATAAATATCTCTTCGTCTTTCTCCAAAGTGCTGTGAAGATTTCTACGGTGCATTCAATGATCTGCTATTTAACGCGTAAACATGCATGCTCGTTCGGAGATTGCAGCAAAGGCGATTTGCCTAATATTACAGCGTCAATGTTGAGCTGCTAGCTCGCTAACAGAACGTTAGCTTAATCATCGGGAGGGGGAGGCACTCGACGGCCATCACGAACGTCTTTATCGCTCAATCTTGCCTTGAACCAGTTGAGCTTTTGTCTTCTAGTAGAACCCTAGTGAAACGATTCATTGGTCAAGTCGGCGAGATAGATAATCTCGTAAAGCGATTTTATCAAAAACGATGACCAGGTGGGCTTAAAAATGTTCCGATTAACGTTACTAACATTGCGGTGGGCGAGGGCGCCAGCGAGTAGCTAGTGTTAGCTGATGTTAGCTGATGTTAGCTAGCTAGCGTTAGCTGATGCTATCCAGCTAGCTTGTTCAGCATCAGTAAACTAACATTAGATCTGTAGTATTTCGAAGGCCAGCTCAGTCACATAGTTATTATTTCAAAGCACCATTATATTATAGTTATGCATGACTTATGCTGGCAACCAACACAACAGCTAGTGAAATGAAACTAACGATAAACGGCGCGGCCTTCAACTCTTTTTAATTAGCGTTAGCCAATGTTAGCGTTACGCTTGCTGCCTATTTTCTTAGCAACGTTAGATAGCTAACAACGAGAGCGATTAAGAAACGTTATATATCTTTCTCCATCTGGCCCTCGGTAAACGACACGATGACACACAAGCATTAAAGTTAAATGTGACCACAGTTGAAGAAAATAACAAACGGAGCCTAAACGTAACGTTAAATCCTCGAAACGCCATCACAAAATAAAGCGGTGTTTCTTTGAGTAAAATAATGGCCTCCTCTCAACATGCCTGTTAAAAACCCCCACCAGATTAGCTCGGGTGACTATATATAGTTAACGTTGTAGTTTACATCCAAGTTACTAAATATTCGCATTTATATTCCCCGTTCACAGTTGATGTAGAATTACAACCACTCTCACGTTAGATATTTTACGTAGGCTTATGCTCTCGAAATGTGTGAAACAAAAGTTTTGCTTCCAAAAGTTGCACCTAAAAGAAGACCAGGTGAAGCATGTATTTTTGTTATCAGGAATGAGGGCTCTTCTCCGACTTTCATTAAAACATCAGGAACAGACTCAAAGCAGTTGGTAGATTATAACTGCTGCTTTGTTTTGTAGTTTTTCCACACTTTGCGTTAGTTCACTATTCTTTGCCATTTGATTGGGTTTACTTTAAAAGATGTGTTGTTCTAACTTAAATATTATAAAGACATGTCTTTGTCCTACATAAACCATAATCCCAGTGCACTCATAATTCAATACATTGAAAATCAATTGAGACATTTGTATCCCACATGTGTTATTATACATTGGTGGAGTTAAAGGTTTCATCTTATGGCGAGGAAGAGAATGGGAGCTCATGAACCCTCTTACAACATGACTAGTAGTAGAAGCATACTAATGTCAATCTAACCATTTTTAGTTTTTATCTGATTGACACTGGTCAGTTTAGAACTTCTTCAGCCGTTTGCTTTTCTATATGTTGAATTTGATGTTTGTTCTGCATTTAGGAACGTTTTGTCTGATATACAAATATTTTGAGAAATTGATATGGCGTAATTTAACTATTTTGCCATTCTAGAAGATCTCAAATTTAAGAATGTTTGTTTTGTCATCAATTAAACTCAAACATGGTGTTAATCTGTAGTTTGCTTGGCTGTGCTGTAGATATTTTTTCTTCAGATTATTCCCTTCTAAGTTTCTGTGCAGTACCTTCTTGTCTTTACGTTTCATCCTGTTTCCCTTAAGTCATACTAACTAGGCTACTTACTTTAAACTGAGAAAATGCAGGTGCACTTTGTGGTTGAATTGACAGCTTGCAGTTTACTGCTAGTTGTAGTGTTTGGAGTCTGAATCTTAACTGGCTCCAGGTTTATAAAGAGAAATGTGCTTTTGTGCTTGATTTACTGAAAGTAAAGTCTAATCCCATCTGCTTCAGTGGTCATGTATTCAGCAAGAGACGGGTAAAGTTTTTACAACAGGTGACTTGGGCCACCACTTATTGGTGAGCCATTTGTATCACTCTGCAAAAAAATTGTATCCAACTTGGAGGTTTGTCTTACACAAGGATGTATTAAGAGTAATAATAATAATAGCAGCGCAAAACTGGACTGTTTATGTCTCCGGTAGCAGTTATAATTTGAGAAGGCTCAGGTGACTTAAAATTTCCCCGCCGTTAAATGTGATGAACATCAGCGTGGCTTTTTCCCATACCTTTATTATTTTGTTCATGCCTATCACCCAGCTACTAATTAGGTAGGGCTTTCAGTTGTAATCCCAACCACAACTTGGTTATGGGCAAATTATTTTATTATTCAGAAGCAAATAATTGTGGGAGTCCGTCAGTTGCTTACCATGGTCAATGAAGGCAGCTCCAAAAAAGAAAAACTTAGCTACACAATATATATGCAGTATTATTAATCACTAACTAATTACTTTGAACAGTAACCAAGTAAAATCTACTAGTATTTGTGTTTATGTTTTGTGACGTTTACATGCCATTGAGGAAAGTTGCCATCATAACTTAACTTAAAGGAGTATTTAAGGAGAAAGACAGCGAGTGATGCTGTTGTCATTTAATGCTTGTCTGTTTCATCCACATCCTCCTCTTCCTCAGTTTTAATGCTAGATGAGTGAGGTGGGTGTGGCTTCCCACCAGCCCGACCATCCTGACTGACGGATCTCTGGATGACCTTGTCCCCACCCCTGTCCCTGCGCTCACATACACCACAGCAATGTCACATCTGCCCAGCAGCTCAGTCCGCGACCATATGAAATGGGTTTGTTTTAAGAACACCAAAGTGGTTACTAATAACTTTCCTCACAGTCTTGTGTCACTCCGGATGTTGTCGTTGATGACTAGCTTGGCAAATGCCATGTGATGGGCAATATTGTCTAAGATGCAGATACTTTCAAATTGTTTTTTAAATGTTTGATATAGACGGTAAACTGTTGCTCTTCATCCTTTTTCTTCGCAGGCAGGGCTGCTTGGCTGCGAGGCTGTCCTCTCCAGCATGGCTCTGATGCAGGCCAGTTCCATGGCTGCTCCTCCCAAAAAAATGATGGCCCCCCTTGGCCATGGACCACCACAGAGAGAGGGACCTGACCGCGCTCCCCAGGGCCATATGATCCTTCCATCTGGAATGAGCTGTCCACCCCTGGTTAGGACCCACTTCGGAAATGTAGAGTGGAAATTGGGCAGTTATATGCTCTGCTTTTAATATTGTAAAAAATGTAAACTTGTTGTGAAGTTGAATGTTTTAGTGTGGATGCACTTTACCTCTAAATGCAGTCATGATGATTTGTTGTATTTCAAAACAATCCCCAGTTCTACTTAGAAGTGTTCAACTCAAGAATTGCAATGTGAATGTATGTCATACCTGCTTTTTAGGACACAAACATATTGACATAATGACCACCAGGCTAACCACAAGGACACGGAGTTTGAGAAGCGCCACGTATCCTATTGGCCTCAAACCTTTTACAAACTGTTTACTTGTTTAATTCTTGTAAATTAAGATTCTTCCATCAGAAATTGTTTTGAATTGTGTTCTTATTAAAATCAAGATGCAACATTTACAAAACGCACAACGCTGGTTTTCTTCCACTGGCCATGGCAAAAAAATGCACCTAATGGAGGTTCACATTTATTACTTAATGTTAGTCATGTTAAGATATTCTGTTTTTAGTTTTTAAAGGTTATAGATCTGAAATCAGGAAATAATTGACCGTTTTTTGCCTCTGTAGCTTATCCGGAAGGAAGGTGAATTCCAAGCTCCCCGCCTGCTGGACGAGAAGGAGATGAGGGCCAACGAGGACATGCAGCAGAAAAAAAAGAATAGGAAATCAGTAACGCCCTGCAAAGTGAGAGAACAAGAAGGACGGGGGGGGAAGGTCAGTGGCTGTGGTGGCTAAATAGGGAAGGGTCTAGGTAGTGGATTTTTATTTTCCTCACTACAGCCATTAGCTGTTTGCACACATTTTCGTCAAAGCCTTTAACTTTATCCAAGTGCGCCTCACTTGGAGCTTTCATGTGTGCACATTTTGTTTGTGTGGGGGTGGGGGGAGGAGTTCAGGGAAGATGAGGAGGGGGTGGAGGATCTCTAGAGAGGAAAGAGGGGGAGGGGAGCAGAGTGAAGCGGAGCACAATAACTGCAGTTGTGTGCATAACGGTGGGGGGGGGGGCAGTAACATGAGGGCATTAGGCCATTAGAAGGGATTGCGAGGTATTTGTCGATTCAAAAACCTAAAAACTTTTTTCTTTCCTGTTCATACTAAATATAAATGGGACTTTAGAGAGAATAAACCAGGAAAATTAGGATTTTGTGAGCAAAGGCTTTAGGGTGTTATAGAAATCAATGGCCTTACAGTTACTAAAACACAGGAGTTTTAGATTTCCATCAAGTTCTGACCAGTTGTGGGTGGGAATGTGATTTTTATGTTACCTGTGTGTGTGTGCGTGTGGTAAAATGCACTGTAACTGTTTGTATTATCAGTGCACTGTTAAACAAATGTTGATCCATTATTCTTATTATCCTCAATAGGGGACAGGTGGAGATGAGAATGGTCCGTCATCCAAAGTACAGAAAAACTTTATTTGTGATCACTGTTATGGAGCATTTAGGAGCGGATACCACCTGAAGAGACATATCCTCATTCATACAGGTAATGCTTGGAACAACTCAAGTTTACAGTTAAGCAGCCAAAACGGCTTTACATGAATCATTTGTTGAAAGAGGCCCTGAAAGTCTGAGTTAATCTAAGAGTGTGCAGCAACTGTAAGGTTTTGCAATGGCCTGCTTAAATGTTTGGTGATAGTTTTTCTGCCTCACAGCTAATTGGTGGTGGTATCTGTGGGGACTTTGACTAAAACTGGTGCTCTTCGGTTTAGGGGAGAAGCCGTATGCTTGTGCCGTATGTGACATGAGGTTTATTCAGCGTTACCACCTGGAGAGACACAGCCTCATTCACACGGGTATGCGTCCTTTAACCGTACCCATATTACATAAATTGGACTACATCTGTAGTCTGTCACTTGAATCAATGGACAGATGCTCAGGGTTCATTTTGTCTGTGGACAGTAATTTCCAACAAAGCCACTCCCCCCCCCCCCCCAAAAAAGAAAATCTGTTGACCCCAAAATATGAAGCACAATATTGTCTTAAAAAGTATTGGTCCACCATCAGCAGGACAAATCTGCACAGAAGGCAATGTAACACAGTGCGGTCCAGTAGTCCTAAGTCCACTATCAAAAATTGTTGTTTTAACATTTATGATATAATGTATGACTTTTTTTCCTTTTTTGAATGTTTATCTATAATCGTAGCTTTCATTTTGACTGGCATTAGTTGCAGAAATATATTATTTTAGCACAATTCTAGAGATGTAGGAGGCACGTTCCTACTTTTCTCCAGAGTGCTAAGTGGGGTTGAGCTCTGGTGTCAGTGGAGGGAGAAATTAGTGACCTCTCTTGTGACCATCATAATCTCTTATTGCAAATTTAGACTGTTTTCCACTGTGGTACTTTGACTTAGTTTGCCGTGACTTGCTTTTGTTGTTAAATCATTTTAACGAGTCAAATAGGAGGTTGGTTTAGATTTGTGTTAGTGCAAATGTTGCTGGGTCCTGCAGAGATGTCAGCGTGATACACTGGTAGCAAGAGTAACTACCCCCAGGCTAATAATCCTGCATGCTCTGCCGTCCAGCAGTTGCTGCATGCTCTATCACCACCTACAACACGTCACAATGCACTATTGGGCAGTGCTAGAACACAGCTGGTCATGTACACAACAAAGCAGTACACATCTGACCACTCGCGCCGTTTGACCATCTGACAAGCACTCGCGTTGAAACATACCGACCGCTTTATTCTTAAAGAAACCCACTCGGCTCCACATTACTGGTTTCAAAATAAAACAACATTCAAACAATGTTAATATAGACATGTTAAAGGTAAAACTCCACGATAAAGCCGTGTTAGTTTTTATCTTATTCCCTGTCGAAACACCAAAATAACTCTATGTAATAATAATAATTGTGCTACTGATTGCATGTTCAGAGTTGCGTTACTTTCTGTCTGCATTTCTTGGATTGAAAAACATTGATTTGCATCAGTACTAAACAACATGTTTTTAAGGCGACTGAGAAAAACAAATATCAATTATATTGCAAAAATGATAACAAAAGTGTAAATGAGACTTTTTGATAGTGGACTTTAAAGTGGACTCAAACTTGTGGACCCCGTGTGAAAGCCTCAAAGCACAGCCCACTAAAACCATGATTTATTTGTTTTATTTATTTCTGTATTCAATTATTACTTTTGTCAATGAAAATATCTGCATGGACATCAAAGGACTATGTTCTTGATTTTGTATACAAAATGAAAATTGAGAACCTAAGTTGAAACCATATCTATGCATAGTGTCAATATTTGCGTTGCACTTTTTCACACAACATTCTTTGTTTTCCATTGTTTAAGAAGTATGCACTGTGGGTAAGTCAACTTCCAACCTACTTGTTTTTCCAAGTCAGAGACTACTGCCCAGTATTCACCAAAAGAAATGGACCAATAGTTGACTAATATTACCCAACTTAGCTTACTTTATATTTCTTTAGTCATTTTATTTCAGTATTCTATTAGCTTTGAGTAAGCAGTTGCTCTTAATGGCAGCACTGTATCTATTATCTGTATCTGTTTTCGACATAATACATTTTGTGATTTTCTTTTCCACATTGTCACTTATTTAATAGAGTGAATAGCTGATAATTGTATGCTCTGTGTGTGTAGGGGTGAAGCCGTACGCTTGTTCCATGTGTGACATGAGGTTTTTCCAGCGTTACCACCTGGAGAGACACAGACTCACTCATACGGGTATGCGTCCATTTACCGTACCCAGTTCAAGTTAAGAAACTTTTATTTGATCCGGTAGTCTTGTTGAGATCAATATTTCTTATTCAAGAGGAGGCGTAAGAACAAAAGCATGCACAGTCTGAACAACCATTCAACCGCACTACATGTATACCAACAGTGACCTCTTCATTTTGGACTGATCGATGATTTTATTAAGTGCAACAGAATGTTTAAACAGTGCTGTAGTATTAGATTTCGCTTACCATAAAAGATTATTCGTTACCCCATATTAAGGGAGTTGACTTATTAAAAACATCAGTCGTACACTTAAATATATGCAAAATAGTAACGGCAACACTGAAATACCAAAGAAATAGTAATACATATACAGTTTAATGCAATCTAATATTAAAGAAATGATATAGATATACATTTTCTGTTGAATTGGGTGGACAAAATATAGAAACATCTTTTTGCAATCTTAATACTACAGGGTTGAATAATCTAATACAAAGACTGACTTGTTATTGATAATATCTGGGCCATTTATTGTAATGCCCGGTATGAATAGATGTAAATAAACACCTAACATTGATTACGTGGACCCCTCAAGGTGTGTTATCCCTCTTGTACCATTGCTGCTCAACAAAATTTATCAAAAAGTTTTTCAATGTTATTTTTATTCTCTGACGATATTGTTACCGGTGCTTTACCGTGATATTAAACTAGCTGTTTAAGACATTAGTTCTACACATTCTGTGTATACTGTCACGTATTATTAATGGATGTGTCCAGCATAGTCAGAATATTTTAGGGAAGTGACATGGTGCCATAGAGATGGGGTTGATTGGTCACAGGATATCTAGGACTAAAATGTCATTTAGCAGACGCACACACTTTTTCAGGTGACTATCTCACTCAGGAATTTGTAAAAATCTGGTTGTGAATGACTTTGCTAGAATTTAAAGTTAATGTCTTCCCATGAGTATCAGTTTGTGCTAATACCCTCCTGCTTGATCCAGCCATGAAGGAGCTTATTAACGTGGCCATGGTATACTATGGGTATAGTCCTTTGATGTCCACACCTATTCTAAATGCAAATTAATGGCTGTGCAACTTGTGTGTCTTAGCTGTAATTGCTTTTGTCTTTTTAAATGAACATTTAGATTCTATAGTTGCACAGTTTGTGGAGGAGATCAGATTGTAAGCTTTATTGAGCGTTGAGGCAGATCATCCCTTTAGAAGCACACTTCAAAGCAACACACACTGCCACGCCACCATAACATCCAATTAATGTGCGCTATATAAACCAAATTCAGCTTTCAGTAAGTTCGATAAACATGCTCACCACAATGCTACGGCATGTCGAAGTGTGCTGCCATGTGTGCTTCAGCTGGCCCGTGTGATCCCCGTCTCAGACGTGTCTTTGCTATCCTGCAGCTCATTTGAATGTCTTGTTTTAAACTTGCTTGGCTTATATCCTGTTGCTGCTTTTTGTTATGCGATGTACTCCAGATTATTTGAAAAATGCTCCCCCGTAACAGAACACTAATTAGAAGTAAAACGGATCATCCCGTCGCATGACGCTTAATTGGAATGTGTAATGTGTGCCGGGTCCTCGTGATGTAATGCCTGTGAATGATGCTTCCCTTTGATGCTTAAGGAACGTCTTAGCTAATGTGTTGATACTTTGTGTATGTAGGGGTGAAGCCGTACGCTTGCTCCATGTGTGACATGAGATTCTTCCAACGTTACCATCTGGCAAGACACAGCCTCACTCATACTGGTATGCGTCCGCTTAACGTAGCTCATTAGGAAGTGGTGTTTTAGAAGTGCCTTTACTCATTGCCGTGGGTGCAGAGATTTAGGGTGTCTAAATTGACTTTTAAATATTCACATATTCAGAATCACGAAGATGTATTAAGATGGTAAAATATGAAGTTAGCTCTTGGTATAAATGCATACATACATAGTTGGGCACCTAAATGTACACTACTTGAGCTTTTCCCCTGCTGAATACTCTACTTAGTTCTGCACAATCATGTCTTCATTACTTCAAATTCATAAAGATTTCTTCTTTCTCATGATCACAGTACACTAAACAATGGTTTGCAAAACCAGCATTTGTTTCTCAGGCTGAGGATACAATGTGTAGAAGCAACAGTAGTGTCATTCTAAGGGAAGAGTTGATGGTTATGTGTTGTTTTCTGTTTCTAGCTCATATTTATATACTTTTTATGTGTGTAGGGGTGAAGCCGTACGCTTGCTCCATGTGTGACATGAGATTTTTCCAACGCTACCACTTGGCAAGACACAGCCTCACTCACACGGGTATGCGTTCGCCCTTCTTTGCTCCATTAGAGCCCAAATAGCCAGTTTACTGAAGTTCATCTGTTCTTTGTTTATAGAATGACTTGAGTCTGTTCCCTGAAATATTCACAAGCATCAAACTGTTTTAACTATACGGGCATGCTGGAGGAGTACATTTCAGTTTTTGCATCACTCCCTTACGGCTTTATTTTCCAAGTTAACTCCATTGGTGCTTTTTTGTAGTAGGGCTGGGCGATAATTAAGTTTGATGAGATATCGTCTTCAATGGAATCTTATAGTGATAAGAATCGGATATCAAGATATTTTGATACACAATTACATTGTCTTAACTCATAATAACGAGCACATACCAACTCAAATTTATCAGACTATCTGATCAAACTAAAAAACGTTAAATCAAAATACTTCCTTAATGTGATTTTAACAGTCAGTGTATATATCTGAAAATATTTTATTTTATTTTGGAAACACTTGAAACTGTTATGTTCATATTGCTCACAAGTTCTGAATTAAATGAGTAAATACTCGGTACTTTTCATTTGTCAAGTATTTCATTGACACAGGACTAAAATAGGCTTTACCCTGTAGTTCTACCATCTAGACTATTTATTTATTGAACTAACAGAACACATGCTAAATCGTGATGTACATCGTTAGCGAGATATGTCGCGGTAGAAGAGGTTGTCCATATCGCCCAGCCCTGTGCTGCAGCGCCTGTACAATACAACTTGACTTGTGTTCAGTCTCCTTTTGAATTTGCAGTGCATGTCTGCATTGAAACGCTGCACTGAGTTTAAGCAAAAAAAGACATCTTGATTGAGGTCCCTCCTTCACGCATGTTGACAGATTAGAAAATGTTAGCCGAACGCATTTAGTGCTGCATCATACTGGTGCCACTGCTTTTGGCATGTCTGGATAGATGATATAAGTGAGTCCTGTTCAGTTCATTGTGCTGTTTTTACAAAATACTTTTGCTCTGTGTGTGCAGGGGTGAAGCCATATGCTTGCTCCATGTGTGATATGAGATTTTTCCAGAGATACCACCTGGCAAGACACACTCTCACCCATACGGGTACAAGTTTCTATTCATCCCTCTCACTTGACAGTATGGCGGCTTGTAGAATATTCGCTCTCGTGTGCACACAATTACAATTTGCTGTCACTTGTTTCCATTGCATTTCTAACTGCTTTTAGGGTTGACGTGACACATTTTATGTGTGTGTGTGTGTGTGTGTGTGTGTGTGTGTGTGTGTGTGTGTGTGTGTGTGTGTGTGTGTGTGTGTGTGTGTGTGTGTATAGAGACTAGTTGAGACCTTGTAATGACATAACACGTGACTAGTGTATGTGAGATGACATATTTTGTGTACATGGTTCATGAGAACACTCTTCTAAAGTTTGGTACTGTATGCGTTTAGGGGTGAAGCCGTACGCTTGCTCCATGTGTGACATGAGGTTCTTCCAGCGTTACCATTTGGCAAGACACAGCCTCACTCATACTGGTATGCTTGAATTATTTGTTCTCCTTTCACTGTGACACCTTTCATACAAACAACCTACACATGATTTTTTTTTATTATTACTAAGTCCCTCTATATAAAATACCATAATCATGCCATTGTTGATAAATGAATTTCCCCCTTCTAAAAAAAAATGTTTAATAGAAGTTTTAGGCTTTGTTGGAAAACTGTCCACGAAAAAAGTGACTCTCTCTGTCAGTTACCTTGTTTTGTGATTGACACTGTAATGGTACTATTGCATGTGAATGGTTGAGTACTATGTTACATATCCAATGAAAGGCACATTACACTAAAAAGCATTTTTAAATGCAGGCATCAATGATCCGAAATGACAAGCAAAAGAGGCTTTGTTTCTCAGGATTAAATCCGGCAAATGCAAGACTGTCTGACCTGACTAGATAGTGCATCTTGAACACGGGGTAACTTGAAAAAGCTTCATCATCAACAAGTTTGTTTGCAGGATGACTGAATATTACTCAAGCGGGTCCAAACTGCAACGTGTAAGCCCCGGGTCTCCCCAGTTGATGATGCACCTTAACTCTTGATGTCTGCAGGCTCTTAGACTTGTTTTTGTGTAATGTCTCTCACAGAATGTTATGTGATAAAGTATTCAGTAGTGAACCACCTGAAAGCATTTCTTTATGTCCTTTTTAAAAAAAAAATCTTGGTGTTCATGAACTTCATCAGTGCATTGAAATGCATCTAACGTTCTTGTGCTTTGTTTAGGTGTGAAACCTTATGCTTGTACCATGTGTGACATGAGGTTTATACAACGTTACCAGCTGGAGAGACACAGTCTTACTCATACGGGTACGTCCTCATTTTCTACACCTTCACCCTCTCTCTCCCTGACTTTGGTCATGCATGTGCCCCACATTAATGTTTACATGGCTGCTTCAAACTCGAGTTTGCATTGCTTTCTGTCTCTTTATTACCACGTGCTAACGTTTCATGCAGCATCTACACAGAGCTTTAAAAGCAACTGCCTAACAAAACCTCTTCCCATACTTTACATATGAAATGACATGATGACCATGAAGCACAAATGCAAACAGTCTTTGCTCTCTATTTCTGAAAACTGGTGATTGTGTTCAGCTTTTAGATTTCTGCAAGACAAAATATAATTGACATTGCTGACAGGTTTCCTTTTTAGACTTTCTTTGTGTTTGAGTCAGCTCAGTGATAACTAGTAATTCTACTTAAACACGATACAGCTGTCCAAAAGCACTTGAAATATTGTATTTCATGAAGTGTTTTGTAGCACAACCATGAATCTTAATATTTTTACTTGCATAGTTAAAAAAACAACAACAACCAGATTACCATAAATACATGAAATGGCTGAGACTTGACTGCACTTTAAGATCCCGTTTCTCTATTTGGATACACGTCAAAGACTAGTTTTGTGATTGAAGTTAAGTAGAAAGTTTGAACAGTTTGAAAATGTTCACATTTGTTAATGCACATTAAAGCTCCAAAAAGATTATCACGTAGAATAAAAATGTAAAAGACTTTTCCCGTATAACGGCTCCAGGCCTGTGACTCCCTACAGCCGATCAATTCTATATTTTTGTATTTGTGCAGCGAGAGATGAACATAAACCAGCTTTGCTGTAGCTCCTGTTTATACATGACTCATTGATTCCTGGAGTCTTGTTAATCTTTCAACAGTTCTGGGAATGATCATCGGTTGTATATTACGGTAATGTGTCCCGGCGGGAGAATAGACCTGAAGGAGTAAAACACTGACTGTGTATTCCTGTAAAAACAAATGACATGCAAATTCATATTTGACTGCTCTCACAGCCGTGTCATTCTGTCATTTCACATTCAAAGTAATGAGGAGAAAATAACATGCACTCTCTTATGAATAGTTACGTGTCATTGTTTGTCTTATTTAAAAGCTTTTATGTAAGGATGTTACTTGTGCTATTTTGTCAGTTAAAATTTGAAGATAAAGCGGAGTTTGTTTTTACTGAAATCAGAAGCTAAGTGTTGTATGATGGATTTCAGAGCAGTTATTATTAACATACTGTAACACCGTTTCAAGCTAAATGACTAGAGTTGCTCTGCAAACGAATGTCTAATCTTAATGTGTTGTGCATAGTTGTTTACCAACTGCCTAAAATTGTCTAACCTCTGCGATCAGCGTTACAAAAACTCAAGTATTTGCGTTAACAAATGGATTTTAGAAATCTGAATGTGAAATGTTGAAATGATATGAAATCAAGCACGTATTGGCATCGTGTGAAAAACCTGCTATTGTGTTTTGGTTTCGCCTCTATTATCTGGTCATTTCGTATGTTTTTTTTTTTTTTTTTTTTTTTTTGTCGGTTTAAAAATAAGTAAATTTAGCTTTCTACACAGGATATTTCCATTTTGGCGTCAGACTTTTATCAGTTAAAAGTAACTTGGATCAGATGTGAAAACGACATTTCCAATCCGAATAACCGATTTCTGAAGCATGCTGGAATCTCCAGAGTAAACAAAGTGCTGATGAGTGCAACCAAACTTTACTAAGCAATTAGTAAAGTTGATTGTTGATCATTTTTGGCAGTTGAGTGTTTGATGCTAAAGTTGGTACTTTGTGTGTGTAGGGGTGAAGCCGTACGCTTGCACCATGTGTGACAAGAGGTTTTTTCAGCGCTACCACCTGGCGAGACACAGCCTCACTCATATGGGTATGCGTCAGCAACTCTTAACCCAGTCACAAGATTAGGATGCTGCAACACCTGTGTGCTTGATTTAGTCTTTTTTTTTTTTATATAAATATATATATATATATATATATATATATATATATATATAAAAAAAATAATAATAATAATCTGTATTTATACACACATTTTTCAAGTGTAATATGAAATCATCTCATGTGTTGTGTAGGTGGATTTTAGATCCCCTCTGGGAATTTTGTAATTTGAAACAAGCATCTAATCATCATATTGTACTTTTTTTTTTTTTTTTTTTTTTTTTTTTTTTTGTCAGTAATTTTAGGGAATGACATTGGTTATTAACCACCGATATCAATTTAGTCCAGATTGGTTCTCTTAAGTTATAAAATAGGACTATATATTTATTTTTCCCTTGTGGCAGAGACGCAACAATAATTCTCTTGATGCTCTGCGTTTAGGAGTGAAACCTTATGCTTGCACCATGTGTGACATGAAGTTTTTTCAGCGTTACCACCTGGCGAGACACAGCCTCACTCATACGGGTATGGGTCCGCGCACCGTACCCATGACATCCTGCTAGAAATCAGTGTGGACATTTAATTTAGCTAGTTCACTTCAGACAGACGCCTGTTACGCTCAGCCAACATGTCAATATGAAGAATGAAGTTTTCCTAGTCTGTTAATGTCAGGTATATTTGATGTTGGTAGCTACAACACTGCAAAATGAATACAAGTATTGTGAAGAAAATATTTAGAAAACGTGTTGTGTTTTTGCATGAATTGGCATTTGTGTGGTTAATAACCAATAGCGTTTATTTCAATTTCTGAATTAAAAAAATGCAAATTGGGGCAAAGTAATATAATATTGCTACTTTACATTTAGGTGTGAAACCTTATGCTTGCACCATGTGTGACAAGAGGTTTTTTCAGCGCTACCACCTGGCGAGACACAGCCTCACTCATATGGGTATGCGTCCGCACACCGTACCCATGTCACTGAGATCAGACTAGTTACATTATGTTAGAGTCAGCCATCTACGATAGCTATCAGTCCTCTTAAATACTGTCTCAACCCTACTTCATGGGTGTAAATGTAACATTAAATCAAGTCTTAATGTTTAAAGAAATACAGGACTGCAACATCATCAGCTCATGTGATGTGTTAAGTTGTGGATTTGAGAATTGGTTCGTACAGTTTGATGTATCTTTTTATTGGATTTGGAGGATTAACAGTGGTTAACAACCCATCAATTCTGAAAGGATATTTGAAGTATATTGCTTATTGATGGATTGTGAACACAAAAACATACAAAGTCTGAAAATAATACCATAATGCTCTGCGTTTAGGTGTGAAACCTTTTGCTTGCACCATGTGTGACATGAGGTTTGTTCAGCGTTACCACCTGGCGAGACACAGCCTCACTCATACGGGTATGCGTCAGTGCACCTGCCCTCCTCACATTGTGTAGGCCATCATTACATCGTCTTTATTGTGCTAAAATCAGCAGTGCAGACACTATCAACACAAGATGGTTTTTAGAGGTAGCCGATATAGTAGCCGTCTTCAACTTCATTGAAAATTGTCTAAACAGGCCGTATACGCACACATTTGGCCCCAACTTATGCTTTTAAAACTCTACTGCCTTTTTTCGTCACCTCAGCTCTTAGAAATATTTTTTTCAGAAACTGACGTTACTTGATCAGCTCTTTTTTTTTTAACAGGCACGATCACTAGGGATTAAATGTATATTGCTTAAATGTGTATGTTTTGACATTGAAATGTGCTTTTAAAGACACTGATAAATAAAATACTGATTCATTATCGGCATGATTTAGATCCCACTTTAGTCAGTACACTACTAACATGAGGTACACACAAGTAAAGGCATTAACTAGCTGTAATTGCCATTCTTTAGAATATAATTGGCAGAGTGAAAATCGTTTTGATTGGTGATGTAGCTAAAATGATCAGTTGTGTAGTTGTCTTTGTTGACAACTAAGTGTTACATGAAGGGAAATCTAGTTCAATCTTTTTGTTTTTTGCATGAATTGGCAAATGTGTGGTTAATAACCAATAGCTCAGGTATTTAATTCATAAAGAATGGAAACTGAGGTAAAGTAATATATTGCTACTTTGCATTTAGGTGTGAAACCTTATGCTTGCACCATGTGTGACAAGAGGTTTTTTCAGCGCTACCACCTGACAAGACACAGCCTCACTCATTTGGGTATGCGTCCGCACACCGTACCCATGTCACTGAGATCAGACTAGTTACATTATATACATATATGTGTGTGTATATATGTACATTATGTCTCAGGCAATTCTTATTATTCTGTAAAAGTAACTAGTTGTACATTTTGACTACATTATGTGTGTAAATGCAACATTAAAGCAAGTCTCCACATGTAAATAAAGACAGGACTTTGACATCAGCTCATGTGATGTGTTAAGTTGTGGATTTTAAACTTGATCGACACAGTTTGATGTATTTCTAATTGGATTTGGAGAAAAGGCAAAAAAAACATGCATTATTTTTTTTAAGCAAAATTTCACATAGCAAATGAAAAGTGGTTTAACAACCCATCAATTGTGAATAGATGTTTACGGTACTGATTGATGGATTGTGAAACAGAAGTCAAGAGTTCTGTAAATAATGTATTGATGATCTGCATTTAGGTGTGAAACCTTTTGCTTGCACCATGTGTGACATGAGGTTTGTTCAGCGTTACCACCTGGCGAGACACAGCCTCACTCATACGGGTATGGGTCCGTGCACCTACCCTCCTCACATGCTATAGATCACCATTCTATCTGTACAGTGCTGATAACAGGGACACCTTGTGTGGTTATAGTAACAGTCAGATGTGTTTTTCCTGTAGGTGAGAAGACATTTCAATTTAGTAGTATTTAATCTCTTGTTTTCTATACTTGAAACTAGGTTAAATTATTTAGTAAAAAAAATGAATGTTGCCCTCCAGAATTGTTGGTGGATAGTGTGAATCTCTTGTGCGTTACACTCTCCTGGTGAAGCTGGATTCATTATCTTGGTTTCGAAAAAAATCCCGCTTAAACCACGTTTTTGAGAATAAGATCCACCTTGCAGGTTGAAAGGTCGCCTCAGTCGGCGTGTTCCTGCTAGCTTCAGCGAGCCGGGAAAATGCTGCAAACATTAGCAATAGCTTGTAAGTGTTGCCTGACTTCCTGTCTGCGGCATTGCCTCCCTTGACTTGGGACACGCCATGTTGCATATTGAGATCACAAATAGTCCCAAATCAGTGACAATTGAGAGAACAGGATCACATGTTGACACCAGGTGTAAATGGGGCCCACGTGTCACAGAAGTAACCCGCCTCCCCTTAAACTTCATAATATATGATATAAGATATTGATTCATACTCGATCTGTTAGGACAGATTCAGTTGATTGTTGAGCGATCCTGCCGGCCTTCTTCATGGTTTACCAGCCGTATCAGTTCATTTGTACTATGTATACCAGTAATACTGGAGGGCAAATCAAGAACTGTAATGTGGATGCAATGGGTTAAGTATGTTTTAGTTGGGATTTAATGTCAACTATTCTGACTCCACTTACACATATATGAATTCTGATTCTTAAGTCCTCGTTGCAAGAAATCAAAGAAAGAATAAAAAAAGATGTTGAAAGTAATAACCACCTTTTGAGGACATTTGGGCTGATATTGTCATTTAGATAGATTTTTATAGACATTATATAATTACAGGCATTTAGATATTATATATTATTTTGTCAAGCAAACAGAAATACAACAGCTCTAAATGTTGCTCTCTAAAGTCGATAAGCATAACTGAAAAGCACTAAACTCAATCATTTCCCAGTCGTTCCTTACAATATCTTCATGCTTCTACATTATTTTGAGAGAGAGAAAAATAGTTTAACCTTAGAAGTAGATGATGGCTTTAGGAAACTTAATATCCAGTAATAACTCGTCCAGATTCAAACCCAAATTGTTCTGCTAATTATTTATGTATTTTTCATATAAATAGCCACAATAGATCAAAGGTGAGAGGATGCTGAAATAGTTGCAGTGTCAAGTCAGGATGTTACTGATGTTTATTCAGACAAAACATACAGTGAGTAAATGTTACGACAGGTTTAACTCCACATTATGTTCATGTCTGACCCAACTCTACTCCCAGTGAAACGTAAGGTCTTAGCTGCATGTCTGAACATTTCAACACATTTTCTTCAAAAAGGAAATGCACTTTGCATTACATAGAAAGAAATGATGAGCTGTTATCTCTGTCAGTGTTTCAGTCCTAGTGCTAGCTTGAAAGTTGTATGTCTTGCACTTTGTGGGTGACAGGGCTAATACATTGCTCTGTGTGTGTGTGTAGGGGTGAAGCCGTATGCTTGTTCCATGTGTGACATGAGGTTTATTCAGCGTAACCACCTGGAGAGACACAGCCTCACTCATACGGGTATGCGTTCCTTTACCCGTCCCCTTATCCCTGAGACCGGCTTTGGTGCTTCCAACAGAGGGGGGGGGGGGGGTCACAACAAACTCGAGTTTGGATTGTCAAGTCATTTGATGGGATGTTGAACCAGCCTCAAAATCCTTGCTGCGTAGATCTGGGCCATGAAAACAACGAAATTCCACTCTGATCTACACATAATGAGTTGATGACGAGGCCTTTTTTAGACTATATACATTTCTCAGATGCTGGAACTACAAATGTTGAAATGAACTGTTTGTCAGTGTTGGAAATATAGTTTTGTAAATAGAGATTAGTAAGTGAAGATTGCACGCAGTTTTGTTGGTACGGGACGCTAAAACTGATTCATTGACTGTGTATTTGTGTGCTCTTTCAGGAGAGAAGCCGTTTGCTTGTGACATGTGTGATATGAGGTTTATCCAGCGCTACCACCTTGAGAGACACAAGCGTGTCCATAGTGGGGAGAAGCCTTACCAGTGTGAGCGGTGCCAGCAGGTATGCACGGATGTAAACAAAGTGCTACTGTGTTCATGTATTGTTAAATTCATTCACTGTGTTTGCATTTGGATGTGTAAGATTAACAATATGAAGACTGATTTCGTGACGTTTTGAAATCCACTTGTTTGTTTTCTTGGGTCTTTTAACTGAATTATTATAACCAGAATGAAATATAACTTAAGTCCAATTTTTGTGTGTTTTTGAAGAACTTTTCACGGACAGACCGGCTGTTGCGACATCGGCGGTTGTGCCAGGGTCGCGGCGTAGCCAAAGTCGAGAACCAGCCATGCTGCGAACCCCGCCCGTACGCCCAGGAACCCCCGCCCGCACCCCCGACCTGGAGCCCCCTGCACCCCCCTCCAGGCCGACTGGCGGTCTGACATTCCACCTTCCCTCCGCCCACAATACCGCCAGAGATGGGACAAGCCACAGGGTTTCTTTTCCTCAGCGCGGTGCCGAGTGACGCCACACTCTAGCACCGACTGATCTTGCAGCTCCACTCTTGGGATTTACTAATGACGGAGTGACAGTTGTGTTTTTTGTTTTGTTGACTTTTTACTGTGTTTCCTTTTACTCCCCCTGTTTTTTTTAAAGACGAGACTTTTCTGTGATGAACAGTTGTCCTGTTTTGTACTTAATCTATTTGATTTTTTTGCAACAAAAAAAAGAAAAAAAAAGTTTTTATTGTTGTTCAAATATATCTGCATTCGGTGGTACTCGGGGGGGAGGGGCTGTGGGTATTGTTAATCCGGACGTGTTTGCAACGAAATGGGATGAAGTGGTGAGGAAAAGTATTTGAGCTTCTTTCTAATTTTTTCACGTGGCTCATTTTGACTTAAAAAGTTCGTCACTTAGGTCAGAATTCATCAAACTGAACTTTCCTTCCGGGTAAAGCAAGGAACCCACTTTAACATCTTGCGTAGACCAGATGGTGCTTGCCGTTGTCGCTAAGATAGTGCTAAGCATTAAGACATGTCACCCAAAGCAGTGTTTGGTCTAATCATGATTTCAACAATAGTATTTACCTGAATTCATCAACACATGAGGTACAGTTTTAATGATTACTTTGTGTAAATAATTGAAAATGCTTATTATTTCACTAATGGACTTAAGTGTTGAATTTTTTCTGTTCACAAAATGGGCCAAAAACAACCCGATCATTAGAAATTGTTTCAAATATGGTCTTTTCTCACCGTTTCAGAGAAATCCTGAGGAAACCTGACTAACTTTAAGTGTTTATTTAAAAAAAACAAAAAAAAAAAAACGGTAATATCAAACATTGCTTCATAACTGTAAACCTGGACATTGAAGAAGTGGAGGAAGAGAGAGAGCCGGCAGTGGACTGTGCTCTGTGTCAGACATGAAGGCTCTCGTGCTCTGTGGTGTGTGTGTGTGTGTGTGTGTGTGTGTGTGTGACGTGCTGATGACTCAGGTAAAGGCACCGGACGGCGGCCTCGGCAAGTCGTCCTCCCACCCTTGCCGAGAGTCACGCCGTAGTAAGTTCAGCTGTGTGTGTATATACGGTGTATATGCAGAGATCTCCAGTACTTCACAGAACAGCGTCTCGACTGGCTCTGCCCATGGACTCTGGTCTGAAACAGCACAGGTTGGCCTCTTGAAGTCCCATCATGTCTGTACAGTTACTCTCATTGTGAGATTAGTGGGGGATACAAAATATTGTGGCCTTAGTGTGTTTTTTTTTCTTTTCATTTGCCTTTTTTCTCAACCGTTTATTATTGTGGATCGATGTATTTACTAAGACGAGGAAGCCTTTCATCATCATCGTATGTTTTGTTTTTTATCCTAAAGCTGTCCTGGTTACAGAATGTTGACGGCTTCAGTGGCGCTAAAACAAACTAACGTGTTCTCCAGACGAGGGAGAGGTTGTCTTTTGATGATGAATATTTTGGGTCATTGTTACTGATTTCAGTGTAACACAGTATGTAATCCTGAAGCAGCCCCCCCCCCCCCCCCCATTGAGTCTGTCAGCAGTGCTCCATTGTTTCCCACTGCAGTGCTTTGGCTGGTCGCACACCAGAGCAGACTCTACTACACACTAATGATTGCCTTTTTTATCCAAATATTATGTGGTTGGTGTGTAATAATGGACGTCTGACATGTCATTGGGTTTAGCCTTAAGTAAGTGCGGATACACAAATAATCATTGTAGTACTAAATGATGTAACGAAGGATTTCCTTTACCTATGACGAGCTGTGGTCGTGCTGTGTAGAGGTCTATGACGGTCCGACAGCAGAGAGACTGTTGATCACGGCCATTGTGCTGCCTGTTGAAAAAGTTTCTCAAACTTGATCCTTTCTGCCAACTGGTGCCCAAACTTTTCTGTTTACGCCAGAAATGTCAGCGCTAGGTGGGAGGATTAGTCTGCTAGTCTGAACATACACGGACCCATCAAGACATCAGCAAGTAACCAAAACCATCACCGTGGATTTTAGGGGAAAAGAGGGTTTTAATTTAGTTTAAAGTTCCAGATAGGATTCAGTGAATGCCGATGGAATCTCAGTGCGTTATCTGGTCTCTGATTTCTAAGATGAACAGATATTTGTGTTGGATACAAGAAGCCGATTACGGCGTTATGTGATATTTTACCGAAAGTATTATTGGGAGGATTTTTTATTATTTTTTTTTAAATGGTCCATTGATATCAAGGCAAAGTTGTAATTGTGTAAAGAGGATTCAGTTTAAAGTTTTTAAGTTAAACCCAGTGGCAGCAAAGGGGCCAAGTTTGAGAAATGCTTTAATCTGCTCTGCAAACACTTTTCCAGATGTGTGGAGGGGATACTGCTGGTGCGAGCACATACTACAACGGCTGAAGGGCAATACAGTATATAGTTGACATCACTTGTTAATACCTTTTTGACTTATTGTTTTTAGTAATATCAATCTCATTGTTAAACTGCAATAGAATCCTTCAGTCTCAGATCGTTTGTAAGATTGAGGTTTAATTTTCCCGACCGATCCGAGGATTTCTTTGTCTGAGAAGTTCTCATCACATTTTGATGATTGTTTCAATGACCTTTTTTATTCTGATGAACTTGTAAACACTGGAGTGACGGGGAAAAAAAAGACAAAAAAAAAATATTTTTCCTTCAGACTGTACTAGGTTTTAGGTTTTAGACTAAGCCTATTTCTCCTCAACGTGACACAGAAGGTGGACAGAACAATTTGGATCAGTACAGTTGAGAGCCCGGTATGTTTGGTAATTTTGACATTAGAGACGGTAGTACCTCAAGAAAATGTTTTCTTTCTTATACGAAGTCCCTGGTATTTGTAGTAAATTATATTGATAATGGTATTAGATGAACAACAGCATAACAGTAGCTATCACAGATTAGTTGTTTTCTTTTATTAGTCTTGCATGCAGAGTTATGGTCCTCAGTTAAGATAGGATCTTGATATTGATTATTTTGTGTAGGAAAATGAGTGCATAAGAATAACTTCCTAAAAAAATATTACAATGATTATTGTAAAATGGGCTAACTAATATGTACCCTTGTGATCCAATTAGTTTCAACTATATGAAAATCAGAGGAGAGGCTTCTTATTATGCTGAAATAAAAGAATTTGTAAAGGACTTCTTGTATGCTGACTGGCTGTGTTGACATAACGGTAAATATAAAGTGGGGTTAGCTGGGTGAGAGGCAAATCGGGAGAGGTACGTTTTTGGGGCCTTTTTTTTGGACTACATTAGTCATTTAGCAGACGCTTTTATCCAAAGCGACTTACAATTCAGGTTCTATCACATTCATACACCGTAGGCACAGCTACGGGAGCAATGTTTGGGGTCTTGCTCATGGACACATCGACATGCGACTACCGGAGCCGGGGGTCGAACCGCTGATCTTCTGATTGAGCCCCTGCTCTCCACTTAGCCCCAGTCGCCCCTGGATGGTGGGTGGGGGGGGACTGGTGCTTCCGCGTGCATAGTGCGGGTAATCTCTCCTGAATTTGTTTACAGAACGTTAAAGACTGGGATGAGGAACTCTGGTGTGTTTTCTGTCTTTCTTTCTCATCAGTTAATGTTATGCTATGATTCCACAAACAGTAGGTGGCGGTATGTAATTACAGTTTGTTAGCGATCCGCCATTAAACAGACAGAAGAAGAATAATAATAGCGAGGAGGAGGAAGAATACGAATACGGAGGAGAAGAAGAAAACAAATTAATAATAATAATAACTGGGGTCTTGCTTTTTACGCTTACAATTCAAAATGTCAGATGACAATACATCTGTAAACGACACGGTCGAGCTCGCTGGTGGAGATGGAGAGATTAAAGAGCCTTTGTGTGAATCGGAGCAGGGGCTTAAACCTGCGACGACACCGGAGGACAACAAGACTCCCTCCTCCAGATTTCTGCAGGTTGAACTGGAGCTGAGCGCCCACCTCCGTCGGCTCACCTTCAGCGAGCCGGTCCGGTACATCTACAACCCGCTGGAGTACGCATGGGACACCCACCGCTGCTACGTGGAGAAGTTCTGTCAGGGCGGACAAACGATCCTGTTTTTAGGGATGAATCCAGGACCCTTCGGCATGGCACAGACCGGGGTGAGCGCAGCATTCAGATACCATTCTCTCTCGTTTCTTATGTGCGCACCATCCACAGGGGCCAGGGTAACTCGGCTGTAATGCACGGTGGCCTAATGCGGAAGCGAACCCAAACAACAAGCTTTATTTTCTGCGAGCTGCTTGCATGAACAGACGCGCGTTTTCCTTTTGGTCCGAGTATTTTATCACAACCCAACCACAAAATGCACCTCCAAAGATCAACTGCAATTAAGGGCCTAAATTAAGGCAGGAGGATGCTGCATTATTACCTGTTTTGAATAATTATCCTGTGTTAATTAACATGTTCCTACATGATTTTGCATGCTTTATTACTTAAATACCCAGTTTGAGCTATATTTTCCCAGTTTTCCATGCCAGATGTCGGTCTGCCAGTTGCTCTTATTAAAAGTTTCTGACTTGTTTAAATCGATGTAATTTACTGCAATAAATGTGTCTTATAATGTGTTAAGTTATCTGAAATGATCTGCGTTTCTTGGCACAGGTCCCCTTTGGTGAAGTAAGGTCAGTTGTGGATTGGCTGAAGATCACAGGGGAGGTCGGTCATCCTCCTGACGAGCACCCAAAGCGGCGGATCACCGGACTGGCCTGCACTCAGAAGGAAGTGAGCGGAGCACGTTTCTGGGGCTTCTTCCAGAAGTTGTGTGGTGAACCAGAACCGTTCTTCAAGCACTGCTTCGTGCACAATCTATGCCCGCTCATTTTCATCGGTGCCAGTGGGAAGAATTTAACCCCCCCTGAGCTGCCAGCAGGTGAACGAGAGGCCCTCCTCGCCCTGTGTGACACTGCACTGTGCCAGGCGGTGGAGGCACTGGGCATCACCATGGTCATCGGGGTTGGAAGGGTGGCAGAGCAGCGGGCGCGGCGAGCTCTGTCAGCCGCAGGTGTCAACGTGCAGGTCGAGGGCATCATGCATCCGTCACCCAGGAACCCGCAAGCCAATAAGGGCTGGGAAGAAGTTGCCAAAGCCAAGCTGGCCAAACTTGGTGTCTTGTCGTTGCTGAGCAACATGTGAGCTAGTCGACCTTCTCTGATTTTAATAGCAGCATGGAGAGAATCAGTGACTGTGTGATTTGATCAATGGGTCCATGTACTACTAAAGTACAGACTCGCATTTCTCCTCGCAGCTCAGTGTGTGTCTGAGCTGCTCTATGGAGTACTCGTAATACACTAAGGCCTTCCACGTCTGCCGTCACAGCTGCTGTAAACATCTCTTTAGCAACATTTTCTTCCTCTTCAAAGATCCGTTCTTTTTGAGATGGCTTTTCTTTATGCGTTCGTGCACCAGGCTGCCTAAACACTAATGTTAGTATCAGCTGCTCTGATATATTATCAAGTTTATAGTCAGATTGTAAGATCAGGGTGTTGCTAACAATTCAGAGTTGCTGACGAGTAACTGCATTAATTAAACCTCTGAATGTTATAGTTTGGGGGGAAAGCCCGAAACCAAAGTAAACAATTGTCATTATAACTTTTCTTCCTCCAAAAAGGGATCCATAAAGAAATAGTTCTCAGGAAGAAAAGCACTGTAGCTTTTGAATGGTGACATTACAGAGACATCTATTTGTCAACATACAGTTAAGTATTGTTCATGCAATATATATTTTTAATTATCATTTTATTTGTTGATGTTTACACTCAGATTTTATCCACAATTTGAACAATTCTGTGTATTTCTGGGATCAGCCATCTTGCAGTTCAAATAAACAACAATAATGAAATATGAATTTGCCTTTCTCTTTTTTTTTTTTGCATTTTCTGCCTCTGGTCCTTCAACGATGAAGGCTTACTAACTGCTAAGGCTGATATTTGCTGTGAAAAGGTGAAGACAAAATGAGTGGGTAACTTTGAAAGTTGCTTCATTGGCAGCCATTGTCTGCCTGCAACTGAAAGCAGCAACTTAAATCACATTTTCCACCAAATGCAGCAGAGTTTTCCCTGGTATTCTGAGAGGCTGATACTTACTTTTGACCATGTGATCCCACAAAAGCACCGACACCACTATGCACTTTCTTAATGTGGGTTTGTGCTGAAACTACACTGCCATCAAGTGGGAGACCAAGATTATTACGCAATCACAGACAGCTTGAGAATAAAAACCACACAGAATATTATACGTGTAGTCTGTATCCAAATGGCTGATTAGTTTCACACACAACGCTGTTGAAAACCTCACGAAGCTTAACTTTGCTTCAGTATTTTCAGAGCAAGAAAATGCAGGAAATGTCCACGTCGCAAATGAATCACACATTCAAGAATTTGTCTCCTATTGTGGATGCCTGTTGTTTGACTAGCTTTATATGCCTTTGACTGATTCCAGGAGAGTGGGCTCACAGAAGTTGTTATGAAGAGAAATGTTTATCCTTTTCTCACCCCCTCCACTGCCACTACTGAGAATGGCAATGAGCAATAACTACCAGCAGCAGATCCTGTATCCTGTAACCCTGTCCTAGAATGGGAGTTGAAGTCCACATCACCGCTTTGCCTTGTGAGGAGCCGTGTACTCGTGAACTGCATCTCCCATGAGTCTCCCAGCATCACTCTTTTTACTTGGGGGGCCCCACATGGTTCAGGAGATGTTGGGAAACTCTTGCACCAGACAGGATTGCTCATCACTATATATCTACAGATTGATCCACAGCTCTATTCTTCATCAAGTAGCAGACAAGACATCACATTCGTTTCTCAGCAGAATAAGGTAAGACAACATTCACGACACAAAGTTGATTCATTTGTAAATCCAATCATAACTATCAAATGTGATTAGAACGACATGAATACTTAGGTATAGCAGACAGAACTTATAAGACTGTTAACAAAAGGCAAGATGTATCTGAAGAAACAGGAGAGAATGACTTGATTTAGTTTTTTTAAATTATTATTTTAAATTCGCAGCACACATTTAGGAGCATGTATTACTTGATTGATTACTTATTTGCAAATTAAGCTATGGTTGGTGGATTTTAGGAATGAAATATACAAACACTCATTGTTTTAGTAATGTAATATAAAACACAGCTTTTAATTGACTGAGGACGGTCTTTTATGATCAATTACTAATTTATAAAACAGTTTCAATAATTTCAATAATTCATCATAATTGATATATTCATCCTGACACAGGTAGACAATGCAACAGTGCTTTATTTTATTTTAGACGGCATGGTATAATCTCCATGACCAGTAGGTATATCAGCTTGTGCGGCCATAGGCGGCTGGTGTTGTGACCATGCTGAATTCCTGATCTGACTCTGCTATCGCCTTTCATCAGCTGTTCTCCACCAGATTGAAACTGGAACACATTTCACCGACTCCATGTATGTTTTCTTCCTCAACAGCACAGCTTCTTATTACCATGGATAAACAGTCTACGGTGGTGTTTCGAAATGTGGGGCAGCTGTACTTTCCCCAAAGCAGAGTGGAGTGCCACTACAGCCTGACCTCTGACCACCAGTGGAGCAGCGGTGACTGGATAGGGATTTTTGAGGTACATTCACCCACACTGAAAAGGAAAATATTTTAGCAAAAAAAAAGTTCTGTGCCAATGGGGTCGTGATGGGGATGCACATTTATATTATATATGTAATCTAAAATGTGTCTGTTATCATGTCACAGATGGGCTGTTCCTCATTGAAACAGTACTACACATATACATGGGCTGTTGTTCCTGAAGGCTACACTGAGGGTACCGGTGTCAACTCCTGTGCACTTTTCCAGGGTAAGAATCCATCCAAACATTTAAAAACATATGACACAGGTGATAATTCAATAGACCACACCCCACCATCATCCCTGATGGTGGGGTGTGGTCAGACGTACCTGTCTGTCTGTACACTGTGATGTCACAGTCCTGGAGTAAACTGCCACATCAGCAATCACAGCGACTGGAGGTCAGAAATAAGGTTTTTAAGTTTATGGATCAAAAGTTGTTGAATACATAAAAAACACTACAGTTAATGCTGATTTTACCATTGTGGTCAAATTCAAGCTCATTTGTGTGGGTCATTGATGAGGGATGATTAAGAGCGGGCTTGTGCTCCATCATTTTTTTCATTCTGTAATGCTTGGTAAAAACAAAAGTTTTATTTATGTATATTTTCTAATTAACTAAAATACAATAGGTTAATAATCATAATAATATCCATCTAACACTGGCTATTACATCTGTCTATTTGCTACAGCATCCTACCTGCCCCGCCCCAGTGCTGTGGAGTACCAGTTTATATATGTGGATTCGATGGGAGAGGAGTGTGCCCGTAGTCGCTCCTTCACTTTCCGTGCTCCCAAGCCGCTGGAGGATCTGGAGACTCTGAAAGAGGAACAAGATGAGGAGGATGGAGAGGAGGAGCTGCTCATAGTCATCCCCAGGGCTCAGCTGTTGCAGGTGAAAATAAAAAAAACGTCACTCAGTATTGCATTCAGCCATTCTTGATAAGCTACTCTTCCCTTCATAGTAGTAATAAGAAAAGGCCCTTAAGTGTAACTACTATGCACTGTAAATCCATTCAAATGTGATGTCCCTGTCCTCTCTCCCCGTGTTGTGAACAGAGTCAGCTGGAGGAGTGCTTAAAAAAACAAGCCAACATACAGCAGGCTCTAGATGAGGCAAAAGAGGAGACGGAGAACGAGAAAAGGAACAGCAGCAAAGCAAGGGTGGAGTGGGAACGTGAGAGAGAAGCAATGAAGGAGGAGCTCTCAGAGCTTAGAGACAACTTGAGACTCAACTGTGAGATGTTGAAGAAGATGGAGGGAAAACACAAGGTACAGGCAGGTCATGCCTCCGGATGTCTCGGGGTAGCCATCTCATTTTTACCTCCATAAAGTTCTGAATTTCATTAATAACTAGTGATAACTTTTTGATTTAAAAAATACACACATGGAACAAGAATCTAATCACTTTTTTTCTGCTCTCCACAACATTGAAAGAATGTGAAATATAGTCAGGAACATCTGACATTGGAACTGAGTAAACTCATGGCTGAAAAAGACGAGAGCCAGCAGCGAATTAAAGACCTGGAGGAGGACATCAAGGTCCTGAAAGACACCAAGAAAGAGGAAAACGGTGACCTAGAAAGGCAAGTGTTTGAGACATATGCTGGATTAAACATTCGTCATTGGTATATTTATTTCCTTGGGCCTAAAATTAACTTTTTGTCCAACAGGCTGAAGGAGAGAGTGAAGAAAATGTCCAGTCAAATGAAACACGATGAGGAAAAGAGAAAGTGTCTGCAGGTAAATTGGTTGGTGGTGCTTCTTCTAGAGAGGGAAACAGAGGAGCTCTGAACCACAAGACTAACAACGTATTGGGCCCAGTTTAGCTTGAACTGGATTGGTGTTTTGCAACAGTGGGAGCAAGATCACCTCAATTCCATTAACCCACAAGTAGAACTTGAGAAGTTTTCATTTTCCTATTCCCTCGTCTCTGTGCAGGTGGAGAACCAGGCTGCCCTGGTGGAGGTACGAGGGCTGCAGGAGCGTCTGGGGGCCAGTGAGCATGCAGGTGAGGGCCTGCGTAGGGAGCTGAGAGAGCTGGGCACCCGTCAGGGCCATACCCACACTGAGATGCATCAAGCCCGGCTGCAAGTGGCCCAGCTAACCCTGCTGCTGTCTGAGGAGAACCTGGTCCTCAGGGAGGAGCGTGCCAACTGGGCTCTAGAGCAGGAGGCCTACAAACATGCAGCAGAAGTGAGGATACAGCAAAGCACACACACACACACACACACACACACACACACACACCTATATGTCAACCGATCTTTTGGTTAAACTTGCTTTTTTTTTTTTTTATGGCAGACAGATACAAAGAAATTACAAGAACTGAGCTATGAGGTGCAGAGGAAGGAGGAGTGGCTCCAGGAGGAGAGGACGGAGAGGGAGAAACTAGAAGTAAAGCTTGGGCAAGAGAGAGATTGCAATCGAGTAAGTAAATCAAACTACATCGCAGTCACTATTATTCAACACACCAACATATTCAGCTCTAAATATAACTGCTCATGTGCTGCGCATTTGCATCATGCGTTGATCAGATTACATTTTGGAAACCGGAGAACGATGCCAAAGTTCGCCACAGTTCTTTTATTACTCACTTGCAGGCATAAATAGAAAAGCTTCCATGAACAGTGAGTAAACATTTCTCCCCACTGTCGTGCGATCAACAACAGCAAGGAAAGAGCACGAGCCAGGTCAGATGAGTCAGTGAGTACAGACGGTCTGAGTATAACGCTGCTGCCCCCTGTAGGTGCTGCTGAGTGACACTAAGCAGGAGCTGCAGGAGCTGAAGGCCAGTGTGAAGACGGCCCAGGACGATAGAGAGGAGCAGCAGGTGGACAAACAGTCCCACACTAGACTACATATCCACGACTCTTTAAGATTAATAATAAGTCTCATAAGACTTTCAGTCAAGAGTATCAACTCCACCTAATTTTACAAATGTCAGTTTTGTTTATGCTTTATGCTCATTAGTGGTGAGAAATGAACCAAGTACATTTACTCAAGTACAGTACTTGCATTCTGTGTTAGAGTAATACTTTACTGCTACTTTACACTACTACTCCACTACATTTATTTGATGACTTAAAAAGACCAGTGTGCAGGGTGTTGGCGGATTGGATGGCAGTGATGCAATATAATATTAATTATGTGTATAAACAACTGAAACTAAGAATTGTATTTTGTACTTTGAAAGGGAGAGTATTCAGAATGTTACAATCTGTAACCTCACTGCCAGATGTCACCGAATCCTACACACTAATAACCCTTTAAACTATTAGTTACTTTACAGCTTCAGATTAATAATACAACATATAATCAACAAGTTAATCAACATTAATGTGTGAATTATTGTTATCCAATAATATAAAATGCATTCTGAAATGGGCCATTCTGCATGAATAATTTGCTACTTAAATTATACTTAAATGCTAATACTTTATACTTGTAACAAAGTATTCTTATATTGTGGTTTTACTATTTTACATCAGTAAAAGATCTGAGCATGTCCACCGTTTACTGACGAAATATAGCACGGTTAAAACAATAGTGTTGATAATATCTTCAATTACAAAAAGTCAAACAATTTCATAAACTCAACAGAACCTCAAATTGACTTAATCATTCATTTCTTATTTTTTGTCTTCAAATCTTCCTCAAATCTATGGGTTTGAAATTGGACACCCGCAGGACCTGATGAACTACATCCGTCAGTTAGAGCAGAGGTTGAGGATTTTGCCAGAAACTAAATCAAATGGGGACATTCCCACATGCACCTGTGAGTAATGAAGTCTCTTTGTATACGGCACTGCTATTTCACTGCACTGTAACGAGAAGCAAAGCAAAGAACCTATGCTGATTTTAAACAGATGGCTCTTCCTCTGAGGATGACGAGGATGCTTCCTCAGCTTCCCCCAGATCAATCTGTTCGCCTCTTTTCCTGTCCACTCAGCTGGAACGACCCAACAGAGCTGAGCATGTCACTGCTGAGGCACGCATCCAAAGCAAAGGAGACACAGCAGCCTCTGACACACAGGTGTGCCATCCTTTCCACACATTAACCAAACAAAGTGAGACAACACCTGCATCGGAGCTAACAGACCTGAGTGGGCAAATATTTGACTAGTTTCCCCTCGTCCTGCAAGTTTTTGCCTCAGCTCCATTAGACACCGAGGTTTAAAGCTGTTAGAAAGAGAAAAGAGAGAATATGGAAACAAATCGAAACACCAAAGTTATACATTCACAGAGAACCAGTGACTGCTTAAAAGCTGGTCAAACTAAATCCTTCCTCGATGCTCAGCACACCGGCAGCATCTTTCAGGTTCTCATCTTTCAGGTAATCTTTTAGTGACTTAATTACTGTGATCATTGTTTCACAATACCCACAATCAACACACTGTAGGTCAAAGATTGGGATTTTAGACTATTGAAAAAAACCCTTTATAATCTGAATTTGACATGTGATGTAAATCAGATTATTATTGCTTGATTAGCGAGTATAAGGTATCCTGGACCATAGAGATTCTATTTGGTGAGCACAATAAACACAAGAATCCAATATTCATTTAACCATTGATTGAACAGTTTGCCTAACTTGGTTTGGACTTTATCTCACAAGTAAGTGTCTCACACAGCTCAACAATAAAGCATGATCTATTAGGAAGTAAACATAGTCATAACTATGACTATGTAGACTCAACTCAAAGGATATAAACAATATGTCATTTCAAACTGGTCTGACAGAAAGGATTTGACCAGAGCACACCCAGCCGTTAACCTGGCCTTCACTGAACTCCTCCCCGATGCATTCAGTGACAGGTGAATGTCTCCACCCTCTCAGGTCTATAGATCACAGTTACAGACGAGCCAATTTTGCTACCTTGTAACCAACAGTCTTGTTACAAGATGAACAAAGTTAAATGTGAATGCTTTAACTCAAATGGCATGGGCTTTCTTATAACTGTGCCATGTTTTACAAATCACTTTATTATGAAATGTGATAGAGATTATATTTGAAGATATAAATCAAAGAAATATATTAAGATATTTTGATTTTAATACAATTGCTTAAACTTTAGCCTTAAAACAAATACAAACAGTAATCCCTGTTATCTTGGGTGTGTATAATATTTACCAACAGATAAATCTTCACTTTACATCCATCTCTGCTTCTGTCTCGTCAGCGCTGCGAGCCCCCAGCTGGTGAAGGGAAGCTGCTGCTGATGCTGCAAGAACCCGCCGACCCCGTCCTGAGGTGACAATTCTGGCTTTCTACCAGCCACACAGTACACACCCTGTTTCCCTCCTCCATGACCGGAATCACCTCTCCTGAAATAGTATTGGTTGACTTCATTCACATTCTCCTCCCTGGCAGACTAGCTGCTGTTTTAGAAAAGCTGCCGTTCCACTTACCGAGCACTTTCTTTTCTCGTGGGAAGAGTCACAGGGAGCATTAGAGAGTAAAAATAAAGGTGTCAATAATAAGGTAATACCAATGTAATAAGAGTAAAAATAGCAGCAATGTTCATGTTACTCAAGCAGTGGCTCAGCAGGAGTGTGTTGTCTATTTCTTTTTTCTTTTTTAATCCTCAGCACCTTCTGTAAAACTTGTAATCCTCTTTCTCTCTGCAGTGAGCTGGCCGACTTCCCCATGTGGTAAAAAAACCCAAAGATGGACGGCAAGTTGTTTGTTTACCACAGCAATGCAAGTTCATGCGGCTCATAATGAAACCTTGAAGGTTATTCTATTGTTGTTTTGTAGCTGTTTCATGTAGAAAACTGCCTTCACAAAGGTCATATTTGTAATGCAGAGCGTTTGACTCGTGAGTGTCTGTATTCAAAGTCAAATTTGTGTTCGACACCAAATGTAAGTCTTAAGTGTCCAGAGTGTTGTTTATTAGTATGGCTGATGCTTAAGCATTAATGAAAGTCTCCTTTAGATTTTCATAAGCAGATACCAATTGTCTAAAAGTATCTTTTAGTTTATTTTAGACTATTTTTAGTCTCTACATTTTCCATCTTTTTAGCTGATTAAAATGTGGACATGTGGCAGTTGTTTTGAGAAAAGCTTGGATTTAATAGCCTTGTTTTGGTGGCATATCAGCCCATAACCTCTGCATGCGAGTGTGAATCCTGAAACCGTGTCAAGTGTGGGTGTGGGTGTTTTACAGACCAGTGTGAGATGTACTGCTGCAGCTTGTTGAGCACAGCGTCAGGTTGGGAGTGAATGTTAATTTATGATACTTTTCTTTATTGTTCTGGGCTTCTGTTGGAGACACAAGGTTCTTTAATAAAATATGATGATAAATACATGTTGATGGCTGTCTGTATTTTGTACATTTCCATCTTAAGACTTTCCTCGTGAAGGTGTGAAGTGACGGCAAAGAAAACAACAACTGGACGCTGAGAGGTCTGAGAACAAAAAGCGCCTTTATCAAAATACAAGAAATACAACAACAAATAACAAATAAGCAAACAACAAGCAACAAATAAGCAAAAATCGAAATGTAAAAAACACAAAAGGATCAGCCCAGTCTTTGTTTTTCTGTGTGTGTGTGTGTGTGTGTTTGTCAGAGCTATTTTGGTATTTAAGTCCAATTGAAATAAAAAGCACGAGGTGTCTGAATCCCTGAACATCAAGACAGGTTATTTGCACATTGTAAAGATTGTTTATAAAAAGACATCAGTTAAAAGAACTCAACAAGATGTTACAGAGATAAGATGGTTCCAGCTTCAAAAAGTAATTTGAGATCACGGCATTTTCTCTATCACACAATACAAAGTAAATATATTTCACATCAATGACTTTAATAGATATTGTATTAAGTAATGTTTTATTTGTTTTTGTCCAAATGCAATGTAATATCTTTGGTCCTTTTTTAGTTTTCTTACTCACATGCTGATGTATCGAGCTGAGGCCCTCGTGACCTCTTGGCTCATCTATTGCACCAGCTCAAGTTCAAGAGACAAGTTTAAGAAATAGAAAGAGAAGATAAAACAGGAAAACATTTTAATATGAAATGTCGTCGTTATGTGACATTTAAATACTCAACAAAGTACGTAGGATTGGCTGACGATGTGCAAAATATTGACTGTCTCTGTGAATGTGTGTGTGGCACACTGAAGACAACTCGTATCTTTTACCTCAGTCATTTGACTGTGATGTTTTCATCCTATAATATCACAAATGACAATTTAACAGTCTAAAAACATCATCATGGCATCAGGGCTGATTAATTAATACTTTAAATCAACGTATGTGCACTTGATGGCTTTACAGCTGGTACTAGAGACCTATCTGACTCTATACATGGTCGCTGCTTCACAGCTGCTGGTGTGTTGCCAGCGTGGTCGTGTAGGATCTGTTTTCTCTACATCTTCTCTTTCTCTGCTTCATTCAAAGAGTAAACGTCTCCATATCTGATTATCAGAAACATGTGGTCTTATTTTCAGATATCATACATTAGCTGTATCTTTTTATCCCGAATATCAACAAACTACATCAAAAGCACGTTGCAGCTGAACTGCAATGCCGTGAAGGACAACATGCTGATGGAGAATCGTTCCCTTACAACTATCAAGTAGTAGTTCAAGAAGAGTCACATTGTCTTTCCTTACATGTCAATTTTATACATCTTGCATAAAAAAAAAAAGCTGTATAGTCTCAATGAGAAACAATTCATAAGTATTTGTTTTACAAAATCCATGTACTGCATCGCTCTTTAGACGCAGCACACATGAACACACATCATTTGAAACTATCGCGCTGCGCTTCGGGAGACAGGTCGCCCGATGTAAAGCTTTCGTTTTGTTGGTCATTTTATTAGACGGTTGCGACGTCATTTAATCGATCGTGTGATTCTTGGTCAGCTTGCATTGGCATCAACATGCTACTGTCCAACAGACGCCTACCGGTGAGTGAACTCCGAAAAGTTTTTAGCTGTAAAGCCTATTTTTTTTATCTATTGATAAATGCTCTGATTTACACACTCATGCGCACACACACTCACCTGAGATTTTCTGTGAAGTAAACTGATTTTCAGGGTTACGTCCATTTGGATGATTCATAGCTCACGTTGACAAAACGAAAATATTATGGCTCCACGAAGGGCATGTACATAATGGCCAACGACTCCATTTTTAATAATCCTACTTCTTGTTGAAGCATTTCTGAAAAAATACTGTTGTCAGATGAGATGTGGCCCTGATGGAATCAACCTGAGATTGTGTGATGACATTTAATCTACCCTGCAGATTCTTTAGTCGAAGTATTAAAAAGAGAGATGGAGATATGCTGCTGCATTCGTTTTGCATTACTGATTAGTTTCTTATTTGCATCACAAGCACCAGAGCTGAAATCGCAGTCTTCGTCTTCTTCTTCTTCTCTTTTGAACGTTTTACCCATTAGGGCTTTTCATACCACGTGCTTGTCGTATTGTGAGTTTGAGTCCTGCTCATGACTGCAATTGCTCTATTTATTATCTCTGTTATTGCTTTTCACCGTGTCCAACAACGCAGAAATGCCTAACATTAAAGATAAGCTTAAGAAAAAAAACACACTATACGTCCAGTCAAATGTGAGCAGGACTGAGTGAAAAATATACAAAAAAAAAAAAAAAGTACCACAAACAGGCAAAAATACAGAACAGAAATGTTTACATGCTTAGAAAAACCATACAATAAAAAAATAAGTCGCAAATCTCTGAATAGTAATAAAAGGAATTCTCAGAAGACATTTGCGGCAAACGGACACCTAATAGAGTTCTGTTGTTGCAATGTATTTTTACCATCAAGTTTATATAAAGCATAGCCCTTATAGATTGCTGAGGAGTGCATTTTCTTCTGTCCACCACGTCTCGTTCCTCTTTGGGTGAACAAAACACTTTTGAAATATCTTTGAGAGTCTCATTTTGGCACAGTGATTTCTCGTGGCGCTCTGCTCAACCCACTTACATTTAGTGCTTTTGCTTCTTCCATTCGTTGCTTCCAATACTGAATTTTACTTTAATTTTCCTTTCAGTCAACATTTACAGTATATGTATGTGCTGTATGCAACACCATTGTTGTATAAGAGCCGAATTCTGTGAGGTTTCCGGGAGGGCTCAGGGATCTGAAGGAGGAAGCAGCATCATCTTGTCTCTCTCACTGTGTATTCCCAGTTCCACCTTTCTTTAGCACGCCCGCTGCCGCCTCCCCCGACAGCTCCCCATCACTGTCCGCCCCTCGCTCCTTCTCCTCATCCCAGTAGTCGTCCTCTTCCTCCTCCTCTTCCTCCTCAACGGCTGACTCATCTGTGGCCTTCTCCTCTTGTTTGATGGCTTGAATAGCAGGGGGAGCGGCTGCGGCGCTGTCCCCTGAGTCACTGCTGTCCTCGAAGGCCTCTGGGTTCTCCAGCATCTCCCTGATCAGTGGAGGCATGGGGCCCGGGATCTCCGTCTTCAATGTGATGGCTCTTTCTGCACCTAGAGGCGCACACACACACATACACACATATTTATGTAATGGGTAGTGTATAAAAAGGACAGGAGAAAGCCTCTCACACATCAGTACTGTGAATACATTTTGTAGGTACAAAACGGTATTACGGTTTGCTTCCAAGCCCTACTTCTGATCCATGGTACTGGTACGTAAACGCTTCAGCTTACCTTTGGTGCTGATTCCTCGGAGGTCTGTGACTTTCATCAGCATGCGGGGAAACATGTGAGGCTTGTTTGGGCGTCTGCGGCGGGTGTAGATCTTCAGAGCCTCTAGCAGCGGCTCCTGCAGCTTGTCGACTTTCTGTGGCTCCTCCAGATCCATACGGTCTAACGCAATGAGAGAAAGAACATCATTTTGAAGAGGTCAAGAATTGGTAGAAAAGCCAAATGATAGCAAGGAAATTGCAAACCAATGAGACAAAGTAACATTGTTTTAAGGTAAGGATAGCAAGCTAGAAGGCACGACCTTACCTCCGCAGATGAGGCAGATGGCACTGAGTAGGCCCGTTTCTGTGTCATCCATCTCCAAAGGCAGCAGCTGGCCAGCAAAGGCAAACACCAGCTCTGTCAGTGGGCCAAAGCCAGCGTTATGCATCTGGGTCCTGTTGAGTGTCAAGCCATCTGAGAAGGTCATTGTGTCCTGTTCTGGGGTGTAGCGAGTGCAAATCCTCAGCATCTAGGAAGGGGAAGAAAATCACGAGACAAGGACAAAAGGCAAAAAATGGGCAGTTAGTAAAAGGAGGATGAAATTCAGTCCCCAAAAAATCATGGCAGCTGTTCAGAATCATCAACAAGTTAAGTAGTGTGAATAATGAGGAAGCATTAGGGAGGTGGAAGGGGAGTTGGTTAAAAAGGAAGAGTAATAGGAGCATGTGGTTGGTACCAGGATGTCCAGACATGCAGATTTGAGGAGGGTGATCTGGTCAGCGATGGTGAGCGTAGTGAAGCCTGGTAGCCGTTTGGCAAACTCCACAATCTTTATAATGCACTTCGTGGACAGCTCACTGAACTTATCCCACAGGCCCAAGTCCAGCTGTACTCTGTGGTCAGCACTTGAATTCTGAGAGAGAGAAAAAGGGACACTTCTGTCTGTGTGGCTGTGCAGAGTCCATACAGTGTTTGTCCTTCTGGCAAAGCAGTGAGCTAATAATGCTTGAGTGGAGTGAGTGTTTAGGGGTGGATGTGATTATACATTTAAAATTAAAAAAAATAAAAACTCACTGTGGTGTATTTTCCTAGCTGGCACAGAGATGGAAAGGTCTCTTGGTGAGCTTTGCTGACTTTGTTAACCAGCTCCTGTAGTTCTCCACTCAGCTCATAGTTCTCTGGCAGCACCACCTCCTCCTTTACATCCTTCTTCTTTTTGTTCCTGTCGTTACGCACCGCTACAGGGAAACACAAGTGCAAGGTGACACACTTAAAAAAAAAACAACAAAAAAAACAATCACCCCGTTAACTTTTACTTGAGAGTAAAATATTTGTTTATAACAAAATGATTGAGGCCCATATTTTCCTCTCACCTTCTTTGGACATGCCGACCTCAAAGCACTTCTGCAGCCGACAGTACTGGCAGCGGTTGCGAGTCACTTTGTTGATCTGGCAGTTCTTGTCTCTGTGGCATGTATACACCATGTTCTTTTGGATACTGCGCCGAAAGAAACCCTGAAACCGGTAAGAACAATGTTGGGCACACTGCTTGATGACAGGAAACAATGCTCTGACTCTAGGGACGGCAAAGTCAGTCTGTTGGTTGGTTGTTTGTCCCGATGCTTTGGTCCAGACTGAAATATCTCCATAAATATTGGGCGGATGTTTCCCATCATCCTCAGCTTTACAAAGGGTTATGAGATAATTAGCAAATGTTAGCAGGCTAACATGCTAATCTAAGATTAGCATTATATCAGCATGCTGTTAGCATGTAGCTCAAAGCACTGCTGTGTCTAAAATCAGTCTCACAGAGCACATGGCTTTAGACTTTTAGTTGAATATTTTAAAATGTCATAATGGTTTTATAATAAAGCTTAATAATAGTGGCCTACTAACACAAGAGTGGCTGACGGCCAGTGGTGGAACAAAACTAAGTACATTTACTCAAGTACTGTACTTAACTACAGTTTTGAGGTACTTGTATTTCACTTGAATATTTCCATTTGATGCTACTTTATAATTCTACTCCACTACAACTGAAAGCCACTGTTGTTCTTTTCACTCCACTCTATTTATTGAGTAGTACAATAAGTAATAGTTACTTTGCAGATCATTCAAAATATGAACAAATAAATTAAGATTTATTTTTATGAATTAAGGAACCACACAAGAATGTAAATCAGCTCCACCTTTACCAGCTGCAACATTAAAGTGATGCACACATTAATGCATCAATTATTATAACCCAAAAATATTATATAAATGATTATGGGCCATTCTGCATAATGAGTACTTTCACTTGTGACACTTTAAGTATATTCTATTGTTATTTCGCACTGATGTAGTGCTAGATCTGAGTATTTCTTCCACCACTGCGGACTGCGGTCTCAACTGTCACTTTCTTAACTGTGAACATCCATTTATTGGTTTCTGTATATAAACCTCAAGCACACAAAACCTCTATTGTATGTTCTCCAAATGTATATTTTTTAAATTTAATTTTAATCTCTAAATTTACACTTCAACAACAGCTTAATTTAATACAGATGCAGTAACCATTTGGTGGTCAGTTACCACACAATATTTGGCTCCGTTACATCAATAACGTGCAGTGTTAGTCACGATACACTAGAGGGCAGCTTAACAAAGGCAAACGTTACAGCTACGCAGCACTGACATCTGTCAGGCTTCTAGTGAAACATCAGACTTTTCAGTGGACATCAGCTGTTCAACTTTGTACACTTCATAAACTCTTCATGTGTCTCTGGCTTCTTTTACCTTGCAACCCTCACAGGAGCTCACTCCATAGTGATAACCAGAGGACTTGTCCTGGCACACAAAGCACGGCTTGTAGATCCGCGGTGGAGGAGGAGGAGAAGGAGAGCTGGGGACCATCTCCTCTGAGCTGGTGCTCTGGGTCTCCACCGCTGCAGACAGAAAGAGAGAAAAAAGAAACTTTTATCATACGTTTGTTTACATATAAGTTCTGAAAGTCTTTGAAACTATGATGAAAGCTAATACACAGACTGATTAAGAAGGAATAGTCAACAAACAACTCCCAACTCCATGCAAGCCACCCCTTGGAGCCAGAAGGCAAGCTCAAAGGCAGACATTTTTAAGAGAAAAGGAGGGGGCTGCTGATTGACAGGGACTTAAAAGAGACACAATTAGCTGATGGCCAGATGGCCGCGCTGATAAAATGCTGATTGGCAGCTGAGATTTGATTGGCTTCTCCATTTACTAGTGAGTGGGGGAGCAGCATACCTCTGTTGACTTTTTGACTGACATCTGAATTTTTGCATCTGTGTCTGTGTGTGTGTTTGTGTGCTCACACGCACATGCACAAGCTCACATTTTTATGTGAAAGGCTGTCGAACCAGACCGGCCTATATACCTCAAGCCCCATGTGAACAAACAGAGGCGGGATGTTTATGAGACTCGGCTGTCTCCCTCTGTTCCTTCTCGCTGTCTCGCTAAAGAAAATGGCAAACTGTATAACACCATTTGCTGGCCACAGGCACAAGTCCGTTAACTGCTACTAATAAAAACGTTCAAAACAAACAATGTAGAGCAGACACGGGGACACTGATTGAAACTGTAGTTTCGTACACTTAAAACATAAAAAAAAATGAAACACGCCTTGTACACATTTGAAGGTGATGACTAAAGAACAACAAGATTCCTCTGAACATGCCTTTCAACTTTCACCTTCACTCACCCCAACTTCACCTCCCTCTGCCCACCCCCGCCCCCACTCCCTTGTTTCCTGGCCCTAAATTCCTCAGTGCAGGCTGGACAGGGTTTAATAGTTGCCCAGGCTCATAAGCGGCCCTATAAAGGTTGTGTCTAGGATGGGAAGGAGGCCCCCGGCCAGGCGGACGGCCTCTTTATTGGGATCCAGTCACCTTGGGCAGCTATTCACATCAACAGCTCCATCCTTGGATCCCTTCCTTATAAAAATAAAGAATTTGGGGTCAAAAACCCCAAAGTCACAGCACCTCCTGTCACCTTCAATGGACAGCACAGGACTGAACCAAATGTGGCCCCCACTCCACCGCAGAAACCCCAACCTGAACCCACTGCCTGCCATTAACAAGAGTGCTAAGGTTTCAAAAAACAGAGCGGCAAAGGCACAAAGGAATGATCTGATAAAAACAGAGAGAGGGAAATGAAAAGAGGAAGAAAGGGAAAGAAGGAGGTGAGCCGGAGGACAGAGACTTCCCAGTGGCTGAAAGGTTAAATAAGATCCTGACCGTTTAACTTTGACCTTGACTGTAGAAGACCATTACTAATTAAATGACCAGCAGCTTCCTTTAAAGTTAGAAAACATGTTCAAATATGACACATCATTCAATTAATCACGGCTGAATCTGCTGAGCAGTACTTACAGATGTTGTGCTGCAGCTATTCATCAAACAATAAATTACTATTTTTCACTCAAGAAAGTGAGAAATAAAATGTTCTAGGATTAGTTTTTAGTTTTATCCACTATGTGATCCAAGGTTTCAAGAATGCACTGAGCTCCTTGCTCCCCTTTTCTTTAGGATTTGATGCTTTTCTTTGTCTCTTGATGATTAAATATATTTGAGTTTTGGAAAGAAATTAAATAAATTTAAGATACTATCACCTTGGGCTTCAGGAGAATGTGACAGGCATGTTTCAGTACTTTCTGACATTTTATAAACCATATTAATTTAATCAATTGAGAAAGCTAGCGACATAGAAAACAATTGTTAGTTGCAGCCCTGATGGTAATGTTCGTAGCAGAACTAATGCTTTATCTTGTCAGACAGAGGACAGGATTATGAGATTGCCATTTCATATCTTTCCCCCGAAAATAACACGCAGTGTTCTCCAACAATGAGCGATTTGAAATTATTCAGCGTATGCAGGAGAAAGTTAACGTTTCACGCAAGTTTATGAGTAAACAAAGTGCTGCTTGTTGGGCAGGAGGTTAGAGCCCAGGTGTGGGAGGTGGAGCTGCATGAGTGGCACTGTAACTTGATCACTGTTTTCTGTTTATATAGTAACACTGACAATGTAAAAGTGGCCCTGAGAGAACAAGTGGAAAAAAAATAGCTCCCATTGAAACGGAGAAGCTGCATCTGGCGCCAGGACAGAGGTAATGACTGACACTGTCTGAGGGCGGGGAGAGCGGGTGAGGAGGTACGTGACTCTCGAGAAACGTGAAGGAGGGAGACAGGGTGAGAGACGCTGGGCTTAAGGCGGCAAGAGAGAGAGAGAGAGAGAGAGAGGGAGGGAGGGAGGGAGGGGGGGGTGACGGACTTTACCTGGCATGGAGAAAGAAGGAGCCCAAAACTGTCAAGCAGCTGTCATCACCCTGAACTGAGCTCAGCCTCAGAGCCTTGGCTTGAAAGAATCTCTGTCTGTTCTTAACCTACAACTCACCCCTCAGCGTGTCACAACATCAATCAGCACACCTCTGTTGGACGTAGAGCAGACAAGATGACTCGTGTGAATCAGCTCCGTCAGCTAGCTGGAGAACTCTCATACGGGAAACATGCAACAGAAACTATAAGCTATTCGTCACTGGACGAAGAGGGTTGGATACAGAGGTGTAAAAAAGTTTTCCTTAACATAGCTCTACTCGACCTACTGGTATGCCCAGCTTCGTCCTCTCCACTCAGTGTTTGTTGTCAGATCAACACATCTCTGTTTAGACAACAGAAGCCCTTCTGAAAGCAGACACCTGATCTGAGATTCTTGAAGAACAAGAATGACCGTTTCATTCCTGGGTAGTTTTCTAAACCTGAATTAGGGAAATTATTTCTGACCAGAATTACTACAATATCTGCCAACATGGACTCAGGAACAGCCACAGCGACTGGGTCCAAAGTTCATACTACTCATGCTAATTATGTACAGTTGTAGTTGTACAGTTACTGCTTATGCAGTTAGTATTCTACAAATTAACTTTGTTAAGCATTTTATACGAACAGGAAATAAAACAATACTTGTGCCATCAGACGTCATTAAGATAGAACTGATCTGTCATTCTGTATTAACCAGCGCATGAGAAAGAAAACACAGTGATCGACACCATCGAGCATCAGATGCTTAAGTTCTGCAGTGAGCACAGTGAACATGGGGTTTGTTTTACACTGATATTGAAGGTGTTTTTTCATTCCTCTTGGAGTGGCTGTGTAGTCGACACAGTGTGACATATGTGACGTAGGGCCTGCAGCCTGGCTCAACCTGCCAACATCGTACATCTCATTGAACTCGACTTTGGCCTGCAGGGCTTCAGAGAGCCTCGCACCGGAGAGGAGTGGGTGGAGGCTAATGCTAAGGACTGTAGCATTTTATACCGATATAAATATATATATATATATATATATCATATATACATATACAGTATATTATACTGTATATATACTGTACACACACACACACACACACACACACTCACACAAAACATAGACACGTGTGTTTGTTGAAATGTAATGGGAATATTGTATACATATATCATTTTATACAACAATTGTAACATTGTGTTTATATTCATATTAAAGTTTTTGTGTTCTTTTGTATTTTGATGCTTTGCCAACATTGTTTTTTTTTAACTTTCATGCCGATAAAGCAACAAAATTTGCAAAATAAAGCAATTTGGACTAATATATTTTACACTGAGTCTATAAAAGATTAATTTAGATGGCAAATTGAGTTCTTACATAACCTCTCTACTCACAAAATGTCCAGCAGCACACTGTGGAATGTGCGTGCACATGTGAATATGTGTGTGTGGGCTGCTGCATGGGGCCACAGGTCAGTTGGATTGTGTGTGAGGGTTTTCAGAGCGACAACACTCACAGAAACATTGTGAGGACAGAGGAAGAGGAAAACAGTGGACTAAACGCCATTCATCATTAAACAGACAACACATAAAAAGCCTTCGTGGGCGAAGTTAATGCAACCTGTAAATTAAATTCTGATTATGTGACGTGGTCTATACTTTTCATTACAAAAATTCATGCGTCACACTTAAAATGACTGTACTTGGTTGTAATTCAGGAGCTGATAAACAGTGGGGGAGAGCCACAACCTCAAATATGCTGAGCGAGTAATTACCACGACAGCAGGGAGGAGATGGGGAAGATCTAAGTGACAATCCCTTTCATCAGCTGTTCTAAGTTCAATACCAGCGTCCCCTCCCCTCGCCTGCCCTCCCCCCTCAGCTGAACCCTCACTAATAACCGTCTTCCCCCCTCTGTCCTGTCCTGCCTTCCTGCCCTGGCAGGAGGAGGAGTCCTTCCTGTCATTGGAAGCGCCTTTTAAAGGAAAGGCTGTGAAAACCAGACTACTGTCCAGGAGATGGCTCCATAAAAACAGCAGCAAACACTTAAAAAAGGAGGCAGAGACAAACACACAAACAACGGTGCACACACACACACACACACACACACTAACAAGACAGACATCCTGGACATCAATCCCTCAAACTCCTAAGCAGTTTCAGAAATTTGGGCCTAAAGAGTATAAAACAAATTCAAATGAAGAAATTCAGGAAGTCACAATTCACTCGAGTGTGACAATATTTAATTCAAGGCCAAAAACTGGAAAACAACATTCATGTAATATTTTGTTTGTTCCATGGTCACAGACTTACGCTTTGTTTGTCCGCTGAGTGTGGGGTCAGGGGTGCATTTACGGGACAGGTTGTTAAATCTGGGTTTGTCCCTCCCATTCCTCATCATACATACAATACACCCTTTCTTTTTTATAACACCTAATAAACCCAGCGCTCTATTTTTGCCCTTTTTTGATATTAGTCTCCCACCACAATACTGGGCGAGCTGAATACAACACTGAGAGCCGGCATGACTTCTCAAACACATCTTCTGCTACAAATCATGTGGATTTGAAATAGTTTTAAAGCATTTAGGTTGAATTACGGCATGAAAATAACAAAATTGTACCTTATTGGTATAATAACACTGCAGTTATTCGCTTATACTTGGTTTCACATTAGCTTTTATCCTGAAACTGACCCTTTTAGAACATGTCTTATCAGCTAAACCACATTTTTGATAGACATACAAGACAGACTAGTGATTCAAAGGCATGACAGGCTAAAGTTAATGCGGTGTGGTCGAGACATGGCTGGAAGCTGCGACGCCCCGATCAGAGACAAGTTGTAACACGACTCACTGATCCTCACATGTTGGTTCCAAGCACTTCCTCCAATCAGCAGCCTGGGATTGTCTCCGCTAGCCTTTAGAAGACTGTAATTGCAAAAAAAAATAATGCTACTGAACATTGTTTTAATGAGGTTTTTAGATCAGATCTACTCTTCAACGATTCATAAACTACAGTATTTGTCATGTGTGCATTCCCAACAGATGAGTCTGTAGGTGTTAAGATAAATGCTATATGTTGTAACACGCAGACTGTAACCGGATTACTGTGAATAACCAGATTAGAGTAATAATTTGATTTCAGTATTTGCATGTTTCAACATCATATTGATGCCACAAAAGAAAGCAAGTCTGTGTTTCTTTCTGTGTTGATGAATTCACTTCAATCAGTCACAATCTCTTCCATTCAGGGTATGTCGTAACATGAAACCTTTTTTTTTTTCTGACCACCGCTAGCCACTCCACCCCAATCTTGACAATTTATCTCTTAATCTAGTTATTTCAAGTAGGAACATCTGGTTCTGGTTCTAATCAGTGTTTTCTGTCTGTGTAAAAGTCTTTGATGCTCAATACATTTTAAGAAACTGGTAACTCAATGTGAAAGGTTTGCTATGAAAAATTGAAAGTTACAGGTTAAAGAAACATTGTAATTGTCTTGTTGCAAGAATCTCTGCTTTCTTTGAACACACCGACTGAACTTGAATTTCCAGGTTCACAGAGGTTGTTTAGTGTGTAAACAGTGTAATTTCATTAGTGAAAGGCATCTAGAGTATAGGCCAGCATTTCATGACCCAGTGACACAGATTGGCTAGTTTTGTTTTTTTAAATAGTGATACTGGCGCAGGTACAGACAAAATAACAATCTGAGCCCCTTCCAAGAAATACAACACGCAGACACCCCCTGAAACTAATATGTTTTATCTTACAAATCAGCCACATATCTCTGATTTTTAATCAGCTACTGGCAGTAAAAGCATCGCCATTGTATCATAGTTAGCAGCTCTCCTGCTATGTCATGACATGATGGTCAAGGAGCATTGTTAAACTAACTTTGAAGAACCCCTTTAAAGTGAAGAGGGTGCCAGAGAAAAGGAGATTATCTCTGAATGAAGGGGAGAGCGTTTCCCCTCAAGGCCTGAAACACCGAGATACAAAGAGTTACGGGGGGGGGGGTAGTTCAATCCCAAATCCAACTTCATCCCTCCACTCCTCTCTCAGCTCTCGTCTATTTTAACTGCCCATGCCCCATACACAGCGCCTAATCTTATAATTGACTCTTTGTAATTGTAATTGCATCATTAAAAGCTCTTGGTTACACAACACAAGGCGTGTAAACTGAGCCGAGTGTGAGCAAAAAATACACACACACATATATGTACACACATACACACACACACACACTGATACACACTATTGGAAGAGGAAGATCAAGTGTAAAAAGGGGGGGGGGGTGTTTAAAAAAAGGAGAAAAACAAATGTCACATAGAGGGGAACCCCCCCCCCCCCCCCATTACTGCACAAGAGGCGGTGACAGAAGAGAAAGCGGACAGACTTTGGCATGTCCCAGCTCCGTGCAATGCCTCCTGACATTGAAACAAAGGAAGGCAGAGAGGTGCTGAACTGCCTCAAATAAAAAAAAAACACAGGAAAAGAGGACCCCCCTGTTAACGCACGCACACACACACACACACACACACACACAGACCCGGACACACACAGACTAGGATACTCTAACAATCGACAAGATACACACACACACCCACACACACACACACACACACACACACACACACACACTCACGGAAAGCAGAGAAAGCTTGTGTCAAAAAGACACAGATGCCAAAATGCGCTCAGGAATTTAGAGTCACAATGTCCAACAGTGCATGTTCACTGAGAGCAACACAGAATGAGCAAACTCGTAGTCACTTTCCAATGTGGCCCTTCTTTAATGACGACAACGTCTACATGTTGACATGGACCATTAGCAAAGTTATCAACGTCAAAGGGTCAGTGGAAATTAATTTAATTTACAGAGTCCAGAGGTTAACCATCATTTTGTCTATTGTTAAAGTTCCCTAGTCTGTCTGAAATTATGTAAAATGTGAAATCTTAGAATAAATGAGATGTATGATCAACTTTATAAATAGACACCAGCAGTTGTAGAACCGTTTGGTGAATAACACAACTGTGTCAATGTTATAAATAGGGCGGCAACAACTACATTCATTATCGATTAAACTGCCAATTATATGATCCATTAATGCATTTGGTTCGTAAAGTTAAAAGAAATAGTAAAAAAATGCCTGTTTTAATTTTCCAGAGCCCACAGTGCCGTATTTAAACATCTTGTTTTGTTTGACCAACAGGCAAAAAAATATACATTTTTATGATATAAAACTGAGAAAAGCAGCAAATTAAATTGGAGAAGCTTCAGCCAGACACAGGAGGATTTTGTTGGAAAAATGACAATCGATTACAAAATAGTTGCTATTTATTATCCTGTCGGTTTGCAGTCCACCAGCCCAGCCTCATGTCTGAGAGAGATGTTTGAGTTTAAATCTATGCTTGATTAAGAAATAAAGGTGTGAATGTCAGAGGTGAGTAACGCCTCTTTGCATGCAACTGTCCATTAATGCTAACAGGGTACTAAACAGAACGGGGCTGAATCACCCTCTAAACCCCCGTGGCCAGTCAGGGAACATATTTTTACTTCCTTAAGTCCATTCGAAAAATCTCGCTCGGCAAAAAAAACAAAAAAAACACTAAACTAAACCTAAACTGTTTTTATAGAAAGAAAAGGTGATTAATGAATATTTGTGGACATTTGTCTGTTAGAGTGGCATCTGGCGAAGCTCCTTAGCGAGTTGAAACAGGCCCTGCTGTGGTGTTTGTCATCCCGACTGCTCATCCGTCATCATTAGTGAGCACTGAGGACCTGCTTGATGCCCTGCTATCTAAATAAAAACTGAAGATAAATGAACTCAAGGTGCTCAGTGGGGACATCCCACACTGCAGAGAAGATGTATCAAACACAAAATGAGGTACGCTCAGCTCGGTGACACACATGAATAGACTTCAGCAAGTCAGTTTCCATAGATAGAAAGCGTCAATGTTTGATTTTCCAAGCCACAAAACCAAGTGTGACCAAAGAGTCTGAGAGTGGACTCCATGACAATAACAAAAGGTCTGCTTATTCAGATACCTTGGGTGACTGCTCCTGTGTTGTTGTTTGTTAACACTGTATCTTAATGCCTGATGCAATCTTTGCCTTGTTTAGCCTTGCGTTACGAAACGGCTCATGTGTAAAGTGATTCATGTTTTATCTTTAACAAAACTCACATCTCATTCTTACAGTCATCGTTTCTTCTGAAGAATGTTAATCCTACTGTAGAATATTGCTCAAATGTGTTGCATAGCTTCGGGTGACTTTGTCCAATTGCATAAGACTGCTCATATAGTGAAACGAATCAGTCCAATCATGTCTTTGCTTATCTTTTGCAATCCGTTTCTAACTGTGGTTCTATGCGTGTGAGTTTATTGGCCAAATCACAGCCACGTGATTTCAAGGCCCATTTGCCTTCAATCTGTCAGCGCTGTTTCTGTTTGGACGTTTCTGTTTTCTGGACACGTCGTCGGGTCAGGTCCCAAATAGTTTAGAAGAGCTGTCAATCATGTGAAGTCATTCATAAAGAAAACAAACACGATGATGTATAAATATGCACTCCCCAACTCACTCACTCACTCGCACAAAGCACACTAAGCGCATAAACAAACAAAAAGCAGGGTGAGAATGGGTACATAGAATCGAAAGGAATCTGACTCTTCCTGTGGAGAGAGCTCTATGATAACAAAACCAGAACTCTGATAAGAACACACACACACACACACACACACACACACACACTCACACACACACACTCACTCACTCACTCACACACACACACACACACACACACACACACACACACACACACACAGCTGCTCTGTTCCAGTCTGATGGACAGGATGGAGTACTCACACTGAATGCTGCCAGTCCCGGCCCAGGCGAAGGGGTCCAGGCCGGAGAAGTAAGGGGTTGCCTTGCCGAGCATGCATGATCCTTGTCCGGACACATCAAAGAGGGGCCGCGGGGCAAGCCCCAGAGCCTCCATACAGTCAAACATGCTCCTCTCAAATCACAGCACACACAGCTAGCAGCTGTTTGTTCTGCAGCCAAGCTGTGAGAAAGTGACCGTAAAAACTGAGAAAAGGCTTCCTGTGACTGAAAGTAACTCAATGCCCTGCTGGTCCAGGTGTTCCCTGTCTTTCTGCCTCTTGTTGCCCCCTGACTGCCTGTCCCGTCCTGTCCTGTCTCTTCCAAACTTAGTCCTCTGGATGGACACAATCCTTCTTTCCGGCCTTATTTCTGCTCTACAACCCAAACTTATTTTTCCCTCTCTGTTCCCAGATCACTTGCTTGCCTGCCTGGCTGTTTTGACTTCTCTAACTGATCTCATCTCCCCTCTCGCGGGCTCTTTGGGCCTCTCAAACTCCACCACAGACTCAACCAACTATCCGCATGCTCTCCCAGCACAGAAAAAGGAGGTGGGGTCTGGGAAGAAGAAGAGGGAGGGGCGCGTGCAAGAGGGGGTGTGTACCTGCTTTCTGATTGGTCGTGCATCAACGTTTCTCTCCTTCCCCCTTTTCGCCTTCAAGTTTTCCAAATCGCCTCTTCATGTTTCATATTTTGCAAATGAAAACAAACACTCCTCGCCTCCCTTTCCTCCTCCCTTGACTCTTTCTTCTTTCTTTTACTGTATTAATTCCCTTTTTGTTTCACCACAGCAGGGAGCATTGCCTCTCTTCTAAACAGTACAGCTCCACCACCCGTAGCATCAAACTCCCACCTCACAAAGTCTGTTCAGAGAAAGTATGAAGGGGGCTCAGAGAGAGGACAATTAGGGAGAGTGTCATTTACTAATTTATCCAACTTTCCCTGTAAATAGATACCTTCCTGTGGTTTCGGTACAGTACAGTAGGATTAAAGTGGCCACAGAAACACAACACCCCTGCTCACACACGATCAGCTAACCCCAAATTTCCCCCAAATTAAAAGCATATTACTTGAGTATTGTGTTGCATTTTAACGATAACCATCTGCGACAGTGTGGTATTGTTTTCACCTTGTGAGTCTGTGTGTGTGTGTGTGTGTGTGTGTGTCATCATGGCATTTACATGTCTGTCTGTGGACAGATTTTGTCACCGCGATAGCGTCACTACAATAAGATGCAGTCATGAAACTTTACAGGTGTGTTATTAAGGAAATGAAGGCAGAGTTTGAAGATGGGTGTGATTTACATGCTGGTCACTAGTTTATATTTATAATTATTCCCATAAGGCTATTTTTTACAAAAACGAAACGACTAAACCATCGACTAAAACAAAAAAGAAACGATAATGCTTTCATTTACGTTTTTATTATTCCCTGATAATTTAATTTAATGGAATTTGGTGCTCCTTGTTTGGAAAATAAAGGGACATTTCTGAGTCTATTATTAGATTTTAGTTGTGTTGTGTTGTGAGCAGCTGTTGATTTAATAAAGAAGACACAAACGTCCTAAGAAGTTAATAGGAAGTCATTAGGAATTTGCAGACCTATAAAATAAAGTGTTAGAGGAGAAAAAGAAGAGAAAATTACGGGGAATGAACATGAATAAAATACAAGGACTCTATTAAAAAAATGTACATTCAAAAACAATTCAGAAGAGTCTGCAGCAATGTGGACAGACCGCCTAATTGTCCATTAATGCATATCTAACATTTCTGCAATTTGGGATGAAAATGATTTGAGCTGAATTTTAAGATGAAAGTCTGATCTGTTTCAGTCCACACAGCATTCCTTCTTTGTCTTTCTCAACAGTCATTCATCCCCATGTCTCACTATTGCAGTTTCATTTATTGTCTTTCTCTTTACATTTGGTCTTGGCATGTGCGGATATCTAATTCAACTCCTTGAATTCAGTTCAAAATGGATTCAGCTTTCTTCCCTCCCGGAGCTTATTGGATAGTTCAGCCACACTGAAGTGGGACTCCGCTGCAGGCGAACCACACTGGCCCGGAGTCTGGATAGTTTGTATACGAGACAGCCTCACCCACCTCCCTCTCCTCCTCCCTTTCCTTCCCTCGTTCAAGAGGGATGAACTCTCGAAGAAACCCCCACTGGGGCTTTTACACCCCCCTTCACACACACACACACACACACATACAAACTGTCCCGCCTGTGGCTGCCTATGCTTCATATCACCCTTGTGTGTTACAATTCTCTATTTTCTTTGTTTTTCTACTGTTGTTTGTGAGTTTTGTTTATATTTATGCCAACCCCCCTGAATCCATTTCTTTAGATTTTTTCCATTAATATTTGGAGAATAACAGCATGCACCCAGCCTGCTGTTTTTTAACTTACGTTTTTTGTTTTTTTTTATTCATCCTTCGAGTAACCCCCCCCCCCCCCCCGGTGGAGTTTCTACCTGTCTGTCACCACCATGGCCGGGCGGCACACCAAAACACAATGATACACTGCAGGGAGCAGAGCAGCACAGTATGAGCCTGCTGAGCTCTCCCCACACCTTGAGACAATTACCTGCCTCACAGCACCATGCCCCATGTTGCTGCTTTGAGGAAAGGGACATACAAATGCAGGGTGAATGTGAGGAACAAAGAAAAAGTCACTTTCTTTCACTTTTAAGGATACATAAACTTTAGTTTATTTTAGTTGTGCAAATTGCAGATCTCTAATTTTCTCACACACATACACACAATTGGTAAGAGGAGCGAGTCATATTACAACTATTAACAATCAGGCTCTTTTAGCTCTTCATCCTGTCGTCATGTCTGACACAAACACACAGAGCTGAACAATGGCCTCCTCTCTCTCTCTCTCTCTCTCTCTCTCTCTCTCTGTCTGTCTCTTTCTCCACCAGCAGCTCCGCCGGCTCGGCCGCAGATATTTGCACAAAGTCTCACTGCGGTCATCAGCAAGCGCACAAATATAGTCACAAATGTGAGGCAAAGAGTGCAAGACTGCTGGTTTGTGATATTAATGGGTGTTGGAATGTGCAGCCTACAGAGTGGAAATGTGTGTGTGTGTGTGTGTCTGTGTGTTCGGACGCACGGACAATTATGTGTGTATGTGCTTAAACAGAGTGCCTGTGATGAAAGACACAAAGAAAAACACACAAGCCTCGCTCTCTGCCTTTAGGTTCAAGTTACTAATATCACACACACACACACACACACACACACACACACACACACACACACACACAGACACACTCAAAACATTACAAAGAACAAGATGTGACTAGTACAGAAATTACGAAAGGACATTGTGTTCATTGTGGAAAAATACACTTCTTTTCCTCGTGATCAGCAAGATTTTTCTTCCTTTTCATAACTAACCTAGAACTTTGATGTTAACAGAATTTTAATCTTAATGCCATGAATAAAAGACAAAAAATATTTACTTAAAATCCAAAGATATTATCATGTATTTAAACTAAGTCCAGGAAGCACAAGGCAGAGAGCTTTAACCCAAAAGAGTTATTTGTGTGCTCAGATACTAATTCCCTTTTCCCGCTGCTATTAGGAGAAGAGGAGAGGATTTACTGTATGATTGAATACACAGCAGAGAGCTTTTGATGTTTATATCCGCTAATTTTACATCCAGGGATGTTGTGAGTTTCATTTCATTGGAGAACAAAGTCAAGTCTTCTACTCACACTGATTAGGACCTGGTTTGAATTAATTGGCCAATCCCACTTAAACCTCTGAAGTCATTTTGTAAAATTTTGCACACTTTGCACTAATGAGAGATATGTAATTTATTCTAGAATAGGCTCATTATTTGCAATATTAATATAAATGATTTCCTAAAAACTAACTGATGGATAAACTCCTTTGCTACATCATGAGCAAGATTCAAGAGTGCGAGCGATTCCACGCTAGCAGTCTCAGAAGGTTCAATCCGTCCTCAGGCGAATAATCCCACACATTTTGGACTAAAGGTGAAAGCAGTGACCTACTCTCCTCCCAATCCCGTTGGTGTGGGCCATAACGGCAACAAAAACTGTCAACATTGCCGGCATCTGTGAAGGTATTAGGTGAAATCTGGGTGCCCAAGAATTGGTAGTGAAGCAAGATGCTGTTTCAAGGTCTTAAAAGCAGCTTGACAGGCTGACATCCAGATGCATTTGGACCCTTTCTTTTTCAATGCATTGAGAGGCTCTGCTATTTATGAGAAGCCGGGAACAAAGCGACGGCCATTCCCAGAAAGCTCTGTAGCCCTTTGATATTCTTTGGCACAGGAAAGTCCTGCTTTGACAAGACTAGTTACCTGTCAGCTAGATTGCTAGCTAGGGCGGAGACCTCTCCGCTCTTCAATAACTCCTAATTGAATACAATTTTCTACAGTCCTGGAACAAAATCTAATGTCGTGAAGAAGAAAAAACATTTAATTGGATGCAAAAATCCTGTAATAAGGACATTACTCTAATTTGTAATTACATTTTTGGGGATAAAGGATGAAGATGCGGAATCTCATTATCTGGAAAAGTAATTGTTGAATCACTGGTGTTCATTTTCAGTGTTATAAATGTGCACTATGGGTCAATTAATCTGACTTTAAAAGTTACTGCACCTTTAATCTATTTTGACAACATTGAAATGCCACAAGTTTGTTGTTGATGATATTAGCCTGGTTCATTTTTCTTACCCACTTTTCTATCTTTCTATCAAACGGCAGCACACGCATACAAGCCTCACCTGTCTTACTTCACTACACGCCCAACATTACCAAATATATGTAAATGAAGGCAAAGAAAAACAAAGAAGACAGAGCGAGACGTTGCAGAGTTAAACTTTTAACTGAAGTTGGATTCAGGATTATTTAACGCATGTTACTTTGTGGTCTCATTGCTACAAGCTTAAAAAACCAAATGTGGTTTTATCACAATCTACTATTTCTTCCTTGTTTGCCTCGACTGACAACTGTCACAAGTTGAAATAACTGTTATTGATTTAGATATTCTGCATATACCTGACAGGTCTTCTGGGCATTTTGTTTTGTCACATTAGACCACCTGTAACGACCCTGACTGACGTAACGCGGCCCGGCCCCTCATATCTTTCTGTCTGTATAACAGTCCCAGAGGCAACATGTCAAAGATGTAATGACATTGTGAGTTCTACAAGCCTGGTCGTATAGGGCCTGAGTCTCCAGATAAACAGATATCAGCCGCGCACTGAACACATTATCTGTGTGCACACAATGACACACACACACACACACACACACACACACACTGATTGACAGCAGGTATTTCTGCACCAGATGTCAGCCTTACAGGATGAGAGATACAGTGTAAAGTGTTTGGTCTGAACACTGCACAGTCTACAGAATATTGATAAACATAGGGATTAATATGGATACAAGATCATTTTGGACATTTCTTCAACATACCTGCAGCAGTCAAATGTAGAGAACTAGATTAAACTGACGATAGTAGCATTCATGTT